ATGTCCCAGTTTAGCAGCTCTATCAGCCCTCTCATTACCAATAATTCCGACATGGGCCTTGACCCACTGTAGATGCACAGTCTTTAAATTATTCAACCGTACGAGTCTCTCACGTATTTCGTAGATAAGACTACAGCAGGTGCCAGTGGGGGATATCAAAAGTTGTAAAGCAACAAGAGAGTCAGAACAAACTACCCACAGAGGGAAGGGGTCCACCTCAGTAGTGAAGTGTTTTGAGAGTCAGGTGAAGGCAACAGAACTTATGTAACGCATACGTTTTTTTATAGTTTTTCATTTCTCGATGCGTCCTTAATGTGTCGGAATATACCGCGTTTACCCTAGCCTTTATAAAGAGATGGTTTTGAGCATTTTTTGTTAATAACTTCTTACCATGAAACATTTCACAAACAAGTTTAGGCTCATTTTATAGCTCTTTGTGAGGGCTATTGAATGGCATTTTCAAAAAAATTCCATAGGGTAAACGCGGTATATTCCGACATCGTGGGTAATCCCGTCACCTCTCTAGTTTTTCCTTTATATTAAGCTTTGTTTTAGTTTCATGCATTTGTTGATGGTTGAAATGGTGACGTCATACAATTGCGCGTCAAACTACTGCCAAAACACTAGGTCTTGGCCATCTAGCTAGAAAATATTGAGATCCAAAGAGAGACAATGCACGCTACCCAGTGAGATCATCGAAAAATGTGTCAAATTTGACAGTTGACCTTGCTCTACCAAATAGTGGATAACTGTTTGTATAGGAAGAATATTATAGTTTGAGACTTTTAAATACGTCTGTGAATATATTAGGAATCCTTTAAGTATACTTGTATTTGCTGATTTTAAGTGTTGAATAAATTAATAGATGATTAAGTCAAGAAATGGATTTAGACACATGAAAACTAATTCCGTCATAACTTGAATTGGACACACACGGATCGTTCCAAGCTGTGTAAAAAAATTAAAATTTGCTTAATTAAAAACTTAATAGTTGTTAATTAAAAGCGTAATTAAGTAGTGTTCAATATTTATTTGTGTTCTAATTCAAAGCTGTGTTGTATTCCAATACAGCTCACACAGCGAACGGAATTCGAACACGTTGATGACGGCATTACGTATCAGTAGAATTTGAAGCGCGGATGCCGGACGGAATACGCCTCACCACGTGCCAAATATAGCCACACACAGTGACGGAATATAGGGATTTGGTAGGTTTGCATTCTAAAGGCTTTTAAATAAATATGGCAACATTTTGTGACGTTTTGTTGTTGCTGACGCGTAGTGCAGTGTTTTGAGAGTCACATAAAGCAAACAGAACTTGAGTAACGCATATGGTTATTTTTTTATAGTTTTTCATTTCTCGATGCGTCCTTAATGTGACGGAATATACCGCGTTTACCCTATGCTATTTGTAACGTGCCAGACGCAATATAAAAGGCTCCTGAATTTATCTGGAAATGGGGTAAAAAGGGACAGGTGAAATAAAACTCAATTTTAAACGTTTGAAGCGTGGCTGAATGCAGAGTGTACCTACTGACTGTACTCACCTATTACCAGCAGTACTCCAAAGTCCTCCTTTTCCTTTTAGATGTAATGTAACAACGAGGAGCTTAACAAGCTTCTTTAGGGAGTGACCGTCACCATTGCATTGCATGATTGCCATTGAGTGACCTGGATGTTAGGAGTTCTGACTTCTGCCTAACATCCAGGCTGTTCTGCTCCCCATTACAAGCGTGGAAAACGTCTACCCTTAGGGCTGCAACTAGAGCTTTCCCGCCATTTCCAGAACTGCAGAATTTTCAGCAGATGAATTACTTTCTATCTTATTGTTAACACAAGTGCACAATCAGGCCGCAAGATTACAATTGTATTAGAAATTTGACATCTTGGAGCCACAAGATTTCAGAAACAAGTAGGAAAATTCCAATCTTGCTTCCCAAGAAGATTTTATTTAAATTTAAATTTAGATTTCTGTTTAAATTTAAAATTTAAGCAAAAATCTTTGTGATTAACCCATATTTATCTTAACTGTGGCCTTTGCTTAAAGAGGATCTGCTGTAAATGTGTTTTAGAGGTTGTCCCTAATTACCCCAGGGGACAGGGGTTGTCCCTAATTATGCTGGGGGGGTCCCTTTTTACCCCATCACGCGGAAATGGCTGCCATTTTTTAATGAGATAGGTAAATTCCGTCAATTACGTTTTCAAGCCAACACTTATGTGTAACTTTTATGTAAGTAAAATTTTTTAATACAGTTTTTTGCTCCAGACCTTAGTAGAAGTACTTTTCCAAAATTGCACTTTTCACCCTTTTTTCAGTAATTTTTTAGAGATAGTAAATGTTTGATTTCTTGACTAGCTTTATGGTACCTAATAAATGCTAGTAAAAATGTTGAAGTTTATGCCACTATTTTTAGTTTTGCAGTATTTTGATTAGTTTAGCTGCTACAACATTTCTACGGAATGTGGGATGCGCATCCTGATTTACCCCACCTGTCCCTTTTTACCCCGTTTGACGGTATCTTCAATTTCATATACATGAAACTGGTGCAGGAAAATTTCACCACTCACCAGTATTAATTTGAATTGCATTGTCATTCAAATGGATATATTATTATTTTACATACACACCGTCAATTTACATCAAACTTGTTAATAAGAGATTGGCGGGGTAAATTGGGACAGTCCTCTGACATTTCTGTAAAAATGCTGTAGCAACTAAACTACCTACTACTACGTAATTAAAATATTGCAAAACTATAGATAGTGGTGTGAGCCTTGTGAGTCTCAACATTTTTCATATCTATGTAGTATGTAGCACAAAGCAAGTTGAGAAATAATTTATTTACTACCTCTAAAAAATCATTGAAAAAAAGTGTGGATAGTGAGATTTTCAAAAAGTACCTCTGCTAAGGTCTGTAGCAATTTTATTATTATACAATGTGGAATTCTATTATCTATATAGCTAATTTATTCTCACATTTACATAAGAATATGGATCAAAAAGCATACCACATTACACCTTCCACCGCAGTGACAATTGATACACTGAGCTCATCAGAAAGTGACCATAGTGCCAACTGCCAAACCATTGATTTTCTAGAATCAGTTCATTTTTAATTTCTCATTCATCATTTACTCAAGATTTAAACCAATATCTTACGATGATGCTGTTATCCATGATACTTTGCTGTTCTAGTTGGAGGATATAAAATTGAACTTGAAGGAGTCTAAGAAACTCTGCTTTGCCACTATGTCAGAAACGGCCTTGCTTCCAATATCTTGCATGGTTTGAAATCCAATACCGTGTCAACCAGGATGGAATTCTGAAAGTTAAGGTTCATATATTATTTCCAATCCATCTTATCCACTTTTTCAATCCAAAAATTTTAGTTAGGATAGAAGGGATAAATAAAAATATACGTTTAAAAATTACTTTTTAAAGACAACACTTCTAAATAATCCAGTGTCTCCAATGTTAAAGATGTACAATGAATTTCTCATTTTATTTTCGAATATTAAAAAAAATTATTTTTTTCAATTTTTCTTAATTTATAATTTTTTTTCAAAATTATTTATTCTGTCAATTGATTCATGCATTGCCTCTGACTTCACACAAGTGTGCAAAATTTCAGATCAATTGGGCAGGTAAAAGTGTGTCAAATATCAGTTATAAGATTTATAGCTGGCAAAATTATTTTTTCAATTTTTGTACAAAATTTTTTTCAAGTTGAAAAAAAAAATTTGTTTTTAAAATCATTTATTTTGTCATTTGATTCTTGCATTGTCTCCAACTTTACGCCACTGCGCAAAATTTCAGATCGATATGATAAGTAGAAGTGTGTTAAATTTTGATTATGAGATTTGTAGCAGACAGACAGACAAACGAACAAGAAGTGAAGTTAAAGAGAAGTGTTGTAAAATAGGGAGGAATTAAAGTTACACTTGAAAAAATCAAGAATGGGAGTTGCATTACTTCAAGATTTCAATTAGACTAAATATTAGTTCATTAGCAAATCGTCTCCAAGTCAAACACAACAAATTAACATTTACAAATTATTAACAAATCTCACCACCAATAAGAGTTGTACTTAACACGATGTACTGCAAAGCTATTTCGTGGGAGCAAAATCTCGTTCACGTTCACTCAGTGATAGCTAACAAGCAACTGCATTTGACAGTTGGCAATGCTGCTTCTGGAAGGTTGGCAGTATGTAGTGGCAATAAGCGCAGTACCGTAAGCGGTAATATTATGGTTGGCAATGCCACAATGCAACCGTAATATTACGGTATGTAAATACTAAGTACTGTAATATTATGGTGATGGTATTTACCGTAAGTTATTTGGTAGTTTCACAAATGTACCATTCAGGAACAGATTCTGAAATAGAAGCGACATTTGCATTCCTATATATAAGAGGGATTAATAAAATGCCAATCAAATTCATTCATTGTCATTCAATTTAGGATGTATGAATGACAATTTTACTTTTGTTCCTATGATGCTCATTTTTACTGGCTGCAGCTGTAAAATTAAATTTAAAAAATGAACTCAAATTAAATTTAATTATTAAATACATTAGATGGTATAGGTACTTGTAATTGATTCCATTCATCATAGTAACCACTAACCATAAGTGCATATGTAATAAATTCAGCAACTGTGAATTTCACCTTCAATCATGAAAATGTTGCAAAAATCATCAAATTTATTTATTATTTATATTTTTTGTATATACCGTACCGTATATGTATACCACGTACCATATACAACACTTGCATTTTCTGGTTCCAACATGGATAAGAAATGAAAGTTTTAAATGGTTTGATTAAATATGTCATAAATAACTTTTTGAATATTTTCATTCCATATTGATTTCATAGTTGTAAATTTGTTGGAGCATTTTTGCTTTGAAATATTAATATAGCATTATTGAATATGCAAATTTTTTTCCCTTTCTCTAAAGAATAAACAATAGAAGATTTATTATAAATATATTAGTATATGTTTACAAAAATAAGCATTCTCTGTCACCAACAATATTTATTGTACTATATAGTATGCCATCATGGCTGGCCAGAAATTTGAATATGATGAGTCAGGTAGCACATTTTTCTATTTTTTAATAAGTGTTTTGGGGCTGATCTTAGTCCCATGCACATTTTACTTCTTCCCTGCTGATGCTGTAGGTAAGTTCACTATATATTGTATATATATTCTAGATTGAAAACTCCATATATATGATAATTGTCATTTTTCATTAACTTTTGATGGTCAGAATTTAATTATCTTAAATTTCTTTAAGCTAAAAAATTAATCTGTTCTGGTACCAAAATTATGAGCATTTTGTGACTAAATGATTTCTATTTCTATTGATTTGTAATACTGTCATTTCAAAAAGTTAGATTTCAAGTGTTGAAAAACCCTTCATCTGCTTGATAATGAATGTTGTAAATTTAAAACATTGCATTCCATTAAAATGTTATTTGGTAACCTGCTTTTTGATCTCCTGGTGCCAGAAAGAAATTTTGTTTTACTCATTAAAAAAAAACGGATAAAAATATTGTTTATAAAAAATATAAAATGCATGCTCTGGTCTTCAATCAAACTAGCATATTTCCTTTTATATATATAACCTGGAATCTACCTCCAATAATTGTAACACAATTGCAATATTTTCATTGTAATTTTAATAGACCAATAGGAATAACTGGCATTCAATTTTTAATGTTAGCTATGTATCTTAAACATTGTTTTGTGTGAGTAATTCTTTTTCAATCAATTTTTACAGAGGATCCTGTAGCAAGCAAGACAAAGGGCAAGTGCAGATGTTCAGAATGTCTGAAGAAAGAAGAGCGCTTGAGAGACAAGCAGTCCAGCTGGAAGGGAACAAAGAAAGCTCTACAGTGAGTTAACATCAAGTCTTTTTAATCCTTATTTTATTAACAAACTTATTATCAATATAATTGATAATAAGCTTATTGATGTATTCGCTGCTGGCAGAACCTACATATCAATGTGTGTCTTGATTCAAACGCGCACATTTTTGTGGGCCATTTAGCTCACCTGTGATCAAATCCAGTTGATCATGAATATTTTGATTGATTAAAATAGACCCAATTGAGTCACTTGATTATTCATGTAGTGAATACCTACTCTTTCTTGCTTCTATTTTCTATAAATGGACCACAGACATTTGATTATAGGTAAATATTATCATCTCAGACAGTTTTTGATTGAATAAGTATGGTTGTGAGAGTCCTATTAGTGTACTTTCTAAAATTCGAAATACAATGATGCTATTACTAGATTGCATAACTGGATTTAAGTGGTTATTATACATGATCAAGTGAATAATTAAAAGCCATAAAATTGTTATATTCTTCTATGCTCACAATACACATTAGCTACTGGATGCATTGGTGCCTCAATTATAATATGTGATTTTAATGTTTGATTTTGTGTGATTTGCAGGCGTGTAGGAATTATTCTTGGCTGGGCATTAATGGCTGCACTCATTTACAAAGTCCAGCAGTTTGATTATGAGTATGCCAACTTTGATCCTTATGATATCTTGGGTGTCAGCATGGTGAGTCATTGGTGCTTAATTATTTTGTGGAGTTCGTTTATTTTGGAAATGCTTATAATTATTTTCATTAGTAAATAATGTTCAGTGCTGAAGAATGAGATATTGTTTTTCCACATTTCCTACTTTTTAATATCCAATTCTACTTGAAAATATTGTTTGGTTACAATACAATATTATTGAAAATAAATACAATACGTATCATTAGGTTACGTATTACGTAATGTAATAATATGTTACCAATTTTAATTATGGTACCATAATAAATCCTCATGGTTTTGCGTTGTTTGCAGCAAGCAAGTTCTGCTGAGATCAAGAAGGCTTACCGTAAGCAGTCACTTATTTACCATCCGGACAAAACTACAGGAGATGAGAGGAAATTCATGAAGCTTAATAAAGGTGAGATTTTCTCACTCTTCTCTAACATTTACCATGCCATGCAGTGAGATAACTTGCATTTAATATAATAGTTACCTGTGTCTAGTTTGTTTTTACTTGTATTCTGTTGGACTTCCTTTACTGATTTCTCCAAATTCTGGCAGTCAAAACTCATAATGTTATCTTTTGCTGATTATCTTATTATCCATGATTATCCTTCTAATTATTTGTTGCAGAATATTATATTATTCATTATTATCTTACTGATTTTCTGTTAGTACTGATTATCATATTATTTGTAATTATCTTTTACTGATTATCATATTTTCCATGATTATCTCTCTGATTATCTTATACTGATTAGATTATAATATTATCTAGGATTATCTTTTACTGATTCCCCTAAATTGTGGCACAGCTTACCAAGCCCTGACGGACCCCGTGGCGAGACGCAACTATGAGCAGTACGGCAACCCTGATGGTCCTGGTGCCATGCATTTCGGCATCGCCCTCCCCTCCTGGATAGTTGAGAAGGAGAACTCCCTCGTCGTCTTGGGCCTCTACGCCCTTGTCTTCATGTTTGGCATGCCCACCGTGGTCGCCATCTGGTGGTACAGAAGCTCCAAATTCTCTGCTGATCAGGTAACTCTACTTATTAACTTAAATTACAATATTTTGTATTTAAATTCATAAAACAGCCGGTGATTCTTTTATTTTTAGGATGAAATTATGTAGACAGTTTCTTCAATGAAATTGATATTTTATGTTTGGTATGTATTTGAAAATCTTTGGGGTAGTTTCTATCTATGATCTATACTGTCATTTTTAGTCAAAAGTTAATGTACCAGATATTGATTAATTTCCTGGCAAGATAATTGTTCATTATGAATTGGAAATGATTCTTATCTGGCTGCAGTGCTTTGACATAAGTTATTTTTACCAGTATGAACCAGTTGTCAGAATTATTCTGACGACTGGTTTGATAACTGGAAAGCGACGCTTTCTTTATAAAAAGTCTGATCATTTTGTAATTATGTCCTGTTTTCAGTAAACAAAATTGATGAATGAATTCGCACTGAAATGTGCTGAGGTAGCTGTGTTTTGTTTTGTGTTCTGGTTTGTCAAGACATTTATATTATTGGGCTCCCAAAATAATTAGCTGTATGAGAGTGTGTTTATGACTAAATTATGAGCAATGAGTTTGTTGGCAGGTTCTATTGGACACGACACAGCTCTACTATTACTTCTTCCACAAAACTCCTTCCATGCCATACAAGCGTGCGCTCATGGTGCTCTCTGCATCTTTTGAGTTTGAAAAAGGACACAATTCAGCAATCACTGTGAGTTTCCTGACGAAATTGCCAATATTACTGAAATTGAAAGTAGCGAATTGAGTTTTTAGTGATATCATACAGCTGACTAATGCTGTTACGTATCTCATTGAATCATTTTTGGTAACTATGTTGCTCGCCACATCCTGTGCCGTATGTTATTTTTGGTATCTATTCAATGCTTCATTTTGTTCAATAAAATGAAAATTACCTTTGTCATCTTTATTCGTAGCAGATTCGCTCTTCTATGTCATAATTTCATCTTGAACGTCAGCGTTATTTATAGTTGAACATTTAAAACGTCAAGTGATGGTATTTTTTGCTGTAAATCATATGTGTTTTTCCATCGCTGCTACCCAGGAACGAGAGTCTGACAACTTCGAGGTACCTCCCTTGTTCAAGCAGCTGCCACACCTCGGCGAGAAGAACAAAGAGCGACCTCTCTGCTTCCCATACTCAGTGAAGGCACGTGCCCTGTTGCACGCTCATCTCTCGCGCATACCCTTGAATCCAAACACCCTCGACATCGACCGACTGTATTTACTTCACTGCTGCCCCACACTCATACAGGAAATGGTGACGTGCGTGGCTCAACTCATAATGCTCGCGCACGCAGGTCGCATATCCAGGCTGCCGACACTCGACACCATCGAATCCACCATGAAACTGAGCCCTACCCTCGTACAGGGACTGTGGGACACCAAGAACCCTCTTCTCCAGCTACCTCATTTCACGGAATCCACCCTCAGGAGCTGCGTGGTGCGTGGCCGCACCTTGCGTTCAGTTCAGCAACTCGTGGCTCTACTACCCCAGGACCGCCGCCACGTCCTGAGGTCCTTTACTGCTGACGAACAAAACGACATCGTGCAGGTCTGTAACACGTTCCCGCACGTCACGATGACCGTAAAGTCCGAAGTCGTCGATGACGACGACTCTGGGGTGTTCACGGCAGGTGCCATCGTCACGATCACAGTGCACCTCGTCCGCAAGAACAGCGGTGACGTTTTCAATTTGACAAACGAAGAAGACGACGAGAAAGCCGCTGCCAGGAAACGCAAAGCTCAGGAAGATGAAGAAAAGAGAAAAGAAGTTCAGGACTTGAGCCCAACTGCTGCCTTGGCGACCTTAGCTGTAATTGATAAGAAGAAAACCAAGTGGAATAAAGACATGAAGAAAAAGAGTGGTAAAGGAGGAGAGAAGGCGAAGGAAAATCACCCCAAAGTTAAGGCCAACGGTAAAGCAGGAGGCTCGAAAAGAGAAGAAAGTGCTAAAGACAATGCAATGGAACCCAAAGATCATGTGAAGGAATCTAAAGACCATGTAAAGGAATCCAAAGATCATGTGAAGGAATCCAAAGACCATGTAAAGGAATCCAAAGATCATGCCAAGGAATCCAAAGACAAACATGACAAAAAAGGTTCGTGCATGGTATAATAAACTTGTCCATTTATGGATACCGTAGCATTGATATAAGCCCATGACGGATAGCATCATTCATCAGCTGCTCTCTTATAGACTACATACGGTATACTACATGATTGTTTATAAGCGGGGCATTATGAATTTGTAATAGTTACGGTACTCAATATTTATGTCCGAGTTACTAAATGTTCATGGTTAAGGTGAATGGTACCTTATTAACTACACTGCATCATTGGTTATGAGTGGAGTATTATGCCCGGTATTTATGTTAGAGTTTACAGAACGACGAGCTGATGAGGCGGCTGATGAGAGCGACGAAGACTACAGCAACTCTCACTCCGACGAGTCCGAGGCCGGCGACGCTGACACTGAGTCGCATAGAGAAGAAAAGGTGGGCTTTATTTACTGCATCGTTTATACCGAGTTGCATAGAGAAGAAAAGGTGGGCTTTATTTACTGCATCGTTTATACTGAGTTGCATAGAGAAGAAAAGGTGGGCTTTATTTGCTGCATCGTTTATACTGGGTTGCATAGAGAAGAAAAGGTAGTCTTTATATACAGAATTGCGGAGAGAAAAAAGGCGGGCCTAATTTTTCCCGACAGTGAGACTGAACCAAATTGTCAAAAAATTTTGTGTTCAATTACCTTGTATCCTAACTTGCTTTTAGCAAGTTAGGATACTGGGCATCTATCAACAAAGTTCGTTATAAACTTTTTGTGGCCGTTTTCACCCTCTATGCTGGTGCTTATAATTGCTGTAAGATACCCTGCGTGCCTCAGTTCGGTCGTTATAACTTGGTAAGATCACTTACCATGATGAGCGGCAATTTGAATTCAACACTTGAGCATGGAACATGAAACCTGTGTATGCTGGTCATTGGGTCTGAGGGGCGCATTTCAACCTTTCATTCAATTGTGTTTTGATCAAAAGTTATTATTTTAATAATATATTTTTGTTTTCTATAATCTATAAAGGAGGATGCACAGTTTAGAAGCGCATATCATGAACTGACCTTCTTCTTTTGATTTTATTCATTAGTCATTATTCATAAGTTATTAATTATTGCAATGACAATGTTGTCTGCAGTCAATGGAAGACGAGGACGCGGAGTGGGAACGTTTCCAGAAAGGCCTGACTAAGCGCGAGAAGGTGCTGGAGGGCAAGAGCAAAATATCTCATTCGGTTCACTGCCCCTTCTTCCCTGACGACAAGCAGGAGTATTGGTGGGTCTACGTCTGTGACCGCAAGAACAAGAAGCTCGTCACTGTGCCCTACCACGTGAGTCACTCTCTTATCAACACTCTTATTAACTCATTAACTCTCTTATCAACACTCTTATTACCTGTCCTATTAACTCTCTCATTAACTGTGTTATCAACACACTTATTATCTGTCCTATTAACTCTCTCATTAACTCTCTTATCAACACTCTTATTATCTGTCTTATTAACTCTCTCATTAACTCTCTTATCAACACTCTTATTATCTGTCTTATTACCTCTCGCATTAACTCACGTATTAACTATTTTATTTTATTAACTATTCTATTAAGTCCCTTAATAGTGGTGCGATCTTTCATTTGTGAGGCCATCTTTCATTAGTAATGGAATCTTGTTGGTAAAACGTACTGGCTTCCTGAAGCAGATAAAGTACTTTGTACATTGTGTGATTTCCAGTTTGCTTAATTTGATTGGATCGAGTGCGTAATAACAGGACTGAACAAGATTGTTTGATGAAGAACTTGTCAAAAAATGCGGTGTACAAATTGACTGAACAATTGAGGAAAACAGCCTCAGAAGACACTGTTGTAGCAAAAATAACTTGTTGATTCAAAGTTCATTTAAAGTTCACGAAGATTTTAATTTATCACAGCTCACAAATCTGGTTGAAGAGGAAGAAGTCCAACTGAAGATGACTGCGCCTCACCGTCAAGGCGTCTACACTTATCAGGTGATGCATGGGCATTGCAGTGAGGGCTGATTACCCGGCTGAAGACGTCATTCTTCTTGGGCCCCGACCTGTAAAACTCACGTGCAAACTACAGGCCAAGAGCGCGTGTTGCCAAATCGACGTTTCTTGCCTTGGACGAGATTGATGATTCGAATTCCAGGCGTTTTATTGAGGCGGATTTGGGTAGAATTATACCAATTTATAGACATTTTCACGTATAATTAATTGAATTAAATTTGCTCAGAGAGGATAATGATCTTGACCTACCTAAAAGAAGTCTTTACAACCTGCCTAATGGAAGTCTTTACAGTTTAAAATGGAGGTCAAAACTTACGGAAATGTAATAACTACTTCATTTTATACAGGTTTGCGTGAAGTCTGACTCGTACCTTGGGCTGGAACTTCAGAAAGATATTCGCATGGACGTGAAGGCGGCGCGCGAGGTGCCCACCCAGCATCCTCAGTGGCAGGAGTGCTCGTCTGACGATGACAGTCAGGACGACGGTGACGACAGCGACCGCGAGAAAGACGATGGCGAGGAGAGCGAGTTCACCACCGACGAGGAGATGTCTGACAATGAGGGAGAGGAGACCGAGTCTCAGGAGGATTAGAGCTCATGATGCGTTGGCGCCTATGAGGGAGCGTTCGCTACCCTGCTGCTTGTTGGTCATAGAAAGTTCTATGTTCTGTCTCAATCAATGTTACAGTGAAGTTGTAGTTTTTTTTATACTGGCAGAAGTTTTCATTTTTGGAGGTGTGGAAAGTTCTATATTCTGTCGCAATCGATGTTGCCTGGGATTGGTATTGGTTTAATGATGGCAGATGTTCCATTTTTGGGGTAGTGGAAAATTCTATTGTAAATCTCAATTTATATGTTACTCGAAAAATGTCAGATTTAATGTCAGCAGAAGTCTAATTTTTTGGTTCATGGAATGTTTTATATTCTATCGCAATCAATCTGTTAAATGGGAAAGGTACGGTTTAATGGCAGACGCTTACGTTGTGAGAGTTAAGAAAAATTGTACTTTAACTGTGAAAAAGTTTTAACAAAAGTTGTTAAATGGTGGATTGTTTCTATGATTCGTAGATTTTCATGCATCTCTGCCATTTATGTTCCACAGTGCAATGGATTTTGTACATTTTATGTCATGGGTGAAGTAATTTAGGATAGGAACTTCCTATTTGGAGAGATGATACCATGTGACAGCCTGTTGCCCGAAAATGGTAATGTTTATTCGCATTATCGGTTACATTGTTTTGTTGCTTGCTGGGAAATCAAACTCTGAAACATTTATTGTCAAGAATTCGACGAGCTTCAGGCTGATCATAATTAGGCCTACTTTATGTATTAAACCGCCGCTGTTACATCTTTCATCAACTGGATGTACCTATATTTATCACCGATCTGAGGTGGAAGTTGAAGTGGAACACAGTTTTTTTCCGCGGTTTTATGCCGAATTTGATTATGTTTTAATTACTATTATTTTTTTCGTGAAATATTTGAATGGTTATGGAGGAGCGTTATGTGGTACCTAAGTACAATATTCATTTTGATAATTAAATGGGGATTCCTTTGTAGTAATTAAAACATGCAACTTAGTTACTCAAAAAATGTCCCAAAGTAACGACTATTGACAAGAAATTCAAACGTTTTAATCAGTGTCACGGAACGTGTCACTTGTGACGTCACGGAACGTGTCACTTGTGACGTCACGGAACGTGTCACTTGTGACGTCACGAAACGTGTCACTTGTGACGTCACGGAACGTGTAACTTGTGACGTCACGGAACGTGTTTGTGACGTCACTTGTAACGTCACTTGTGACGTCACTGAGGGTTACTCGTCTCTGTTAACTTGCCACGTGAAGGATTTACATCGGAAAAAACTATATCCCTGAAGGAAGCTTCGTCTCATGCCACCAATTTTTATGGGAAGTTTTGAACCCTGAGTCGCACTGTGACTGAAGTTAGTACTGAGAAACGGCTAGTTGTTTCTTGATGATTACCTAGAGTCCCATGTTCATTTCGAATATTTTCATTAACCAAGCTTTACATTATATTTCCTTCACTTTCCTGTACGGTATTCGAGGTATCAAATGTTGTTGAATGTTTGTACATTGACAGTGCGTAATGCACCGTTTGTTACTCCGTTTTAAAATACTTTCGTTCCTAGATCTTTCGTCTTCAATTGCTTTGAAAATTTATGTTCTCAAAAAAAAAAAATAAATCTCCAACTTTGTATTTGCAATGCAAGTGAAGATAAAAGGTACAAATAATACTTTCAGTTCATTTCTTATACGCAAGTGAAGGTATTTTCTATATTTTTGTAAGCTTTCAGCAATGACAGTTACTGACACGGAGCATTAGTGTTGTTGCCGGAGCATTAGTGTTACACCGAAGCACGAGTGTACACTGCCTCGTACTCGTGCATCTCATTGTTGACTCGGTTAAAGCCAGCGCTCCTTGTAATTATTGATTTTGTTCTAATTCTAGAAGTATTTAAGTTAGATGCCGTTGTGAGCGGTCATTAATTTGAACCTTCACGTCTTCTCACAAAATCAGTAAACCTCTTGTGCTGCTCCCTGTATGGAAATTATTGTTGAAGTGAATGTGGCGCTACAGAAAAAATCGGTGTAGGTTTTGTTATTCTGCTCCATGAAATTCTTGCTGTTATCTGACCATGTGAAGCGAGTATAATAAGTTTCAGTGATGAGAGGTTTTAGTTTTCTACTTTATAAGAGCGGCCCTATAACAGTCGAGGCAAGTTCTTTTGGCTGCAGCTGGAGGTCTGTCATGTTGATTTATGGCTCACTATATAACACATTTGGTTCATTTTTAGGTTTTATTGTATAAAATTTCCTAGTTCACTATTTTCGTATTTCTTTGGCTTTTTTTTTTTGCGGCAACGGGTTCAGAAAATTGTGCTGCAGAATCAGCAAGATTTTCTTGAATTGAATATTCAAAGTTCGATGTTTTCTTATATAAATTGAAGTTTCAAGAAATGTTTTTCATTTTTGGAACTAATTTTCCGGTTTAAAGCTCTGCTTTATGTGACACTTGGAAGACGTAGCTTTGTGGTACATTCATTTTGTAAAGTTTACTTAATTTGTAACGCTGGTTAGTCCTGCTAACAACGTACGTTAGAAACGTATTGGCTTCGGTAGTGTTACAATAATTTATGTTCGTAAAGGATTGATATCCAGCGGTCATTCATCCAGATCCTAAGAAGCTCAAATTTTCTAAGTGCTTCGAAATACGTGATAGTGTCCAATCTCTCTATGTATTTGCTTCAATGCAAAATTATATATAGAGTTCAATTTTAAAGTTTTGCAATTTTTGCAGTAAAATAGATAGCTTCATCCTCATTAATAAAAATTAACGTTTATTATACCTTTCTTTTTCATCAAGATGCGATTTTTGTCGGTTTTTCGCTATTTTGTTAACCAACCGCATGTCGGCTCCTGTCACTATTCTCTCGGTTATTATACCATATTTCGTTCAACACAATTATTATCTCATAATCATTTCCTGTGAGGCTACAATGGAACCAAGTTTCCTTCTCGTTACTCATCGTGTTTCGTTATTATTTTTGTCCTGCATTCCATTTAATTATCGCTTTCTTCTCTCTTTAGTTGACAATTTTATACGTTGTTGTTTCTGATAAAATGTTACTACTGTAGTTAGTTATTGGTGCAATAAAAAAATTCATGTTTTATATTGTCTAAATAGTGACTCACACCTATCACAACACTAACAGAAGGTAGACGTAGCACTGTTACGTCCTTTTGTCGAGCCCAGAATGAGTCAGGATGAGCGCACAAGGGCAGAAAGTGCATCTCTATTTGGATAATGTCTCGCTCATATTTCTGAGTGTGATTAGTTGACGCTTGCTTGTTGTCTGCCTCGTCATTGAGGGTGCGGCCTCAACCTCCTTTCTCTTATGTAGAATTTTAATATATGAATATTTGTTACGTAAACGCCGGTGTTGTTCATCACTGGAATGTCTTGAGCTCTGACCAGCGCCAGGCAGTTCTGACCAGCGCCAGGCACCCCTGACCACAGTTCTCACTAAGTCGTTGTGGCTGTATCGCTCCAATAACTAATATCTAAATTGTGTTGTGTTTTGAGCTGAAGAACTCTGTGTTATTTTAAAAGTTTTCTAGCCTGAGTCGCATTGTTTTTATTCCCAATTTGCCTAACATTTATGATTGAATATTAAGCAGCAATCACTTATTTATATTATCTGTTTGTTTTAATTCGATGTCATCGTTATCAAGTACGTTTTTTCTAAGTATTTAATGTTTCAATTTGTGTCTTGTAATTCTAGATCTGCAAGCTTGGGCAATTTCTACCAATTTTCCCCTTCGCTAGGGTAAACTTACTTACTTTGATTAGCACATTTTGAAGTGATTAGCACACTTACTAGCTCTATTTTATTCGTCCTGTGGTAAATCTGTACAAAAAATAACCTATTTGTCTGTCAAATTTTCTTACTTACGTTTGAAGCCTTGTCGTCGTAAAATTACTATATATTGATTTCACTCGTTCCTATGCAAATGTTATTTCCAGCCTCGGCTTATTGATGATAAAGGCTGAGGAGAATTGGTCCTGTTGCTAAACCTGGACTAAAGAAGCGATTAAATTATTTGTTTACAAATGAAGTGATGATTTTAAATTCATGCTCCATACGGGATGATAAACTTCTCACGACGCGGTGATGATACGTGGATGATACGTTCGTTTCCATAATTCGATCCGTGCTCTGAGGAAAATAGCGACATTTCGTCCACACAGCGCTACATGTTTTTCACTTGTGGACGAAATGTTTCGTCCACAAGCGCTACATGTTTCACTTTTTTGGCCCGGCAAAAGTGCGTACTTCAGTGTTGCGCCCGCTATCTGCCTGTGATGTGGGTAAAAAATTTGTCACTATTTGGACAATAAAACCCATTAATGTTTCTGAGTGGCTAAAGTTTATGTTTAGATGCGCATTTTATCTGTTCAATACAGGCATTTTAGATGGGCGAATACCCCGCTTTCTGGGCACCGTGTATGGGCATGACGGTAATTACTCATTACTTGTATATGATACATTATGACCTTGCGTTATTATTATTGGAGGTGATCATTTTTAATCGAGATCATTATTGTGCTGTCCTCAGGTTTTTTCATGCGATGCCTGGCATAAAAAAATGAATTAACTGGGAACTTCTTCCATCTTGTTTTCTCAATAAATACACTGCTGAGTAGGTATCGTGCGGTTATACAAATATTTGTGCTGTTAGTTTATTTCAATCCATAAAAAGTTTAGAGCTTCAAATTATCGGAAGACCTTACGAAAATCTCGAACTAGCCATTGTTTATCACCGTCTCCGAATGCTACATAATAATTAGTTATATTTACTTGTTTATTTTAGATTATACGTTGCTAGGGATCTATATCTTGATATTAGCAATATTTATATGGGCAATTGTTTTGTTTGGGGCTGTTCGTTGAATGGTGAACTGGTACCCTTCACTAGTGCACTCGAATGTTCGCGTCCACTGGAGTTTGTCGCCGTTTGTGATGTATGCTATTTTGCATTGATTTATTATTCGGGTGGGAGATAGAATTTAGTTCTCCCTGCAACATCGTCAGCATTGCTGAACGTCAGGTTTGTTGTGGATGCTGGTGAGATGAAGTGTTGTTGGCGATGTTATCTTTTGACCTCCGGCGCGAAATAGCTAAAACGCTAGCAAACCATTCTACTACTACTGCTACGTACTTGTGTCCATTTTCAAAATATTGTTCGTCTGTGCCGCTGTTGAAGAGATTATTTGTTAATGTCCATTTTGAAGCGATAATGTGTTTGTATTCCTGTTTAAAAGATGATTTTTCATGCGTGTTTGTGCCGCAATTGAGAAGATGATGTGTTGGTGTGCGTTTGCTGGCGAAAATCTGGCGGGAGTCGGTCAAAGACTGACGATGACCTAACTCTTTATTGCTCACTATAAAACGAAGTTTGACAGAAGATAGTAAATTCCTCTTGTGTAGGCATTACAGTTTCCGGTGAATATGTAAATTTACCTTTTCATTTCTCTTAGGTAAGTAACGAAATTGGATTAAAGCCAGGCTCTGCGTGCCGGAATGCGTCGAACTATTGCAATGTCTTTGGCTCTATATTTATGGTAATCTGTATATATTTTGACCAGGTATGATAATTGTAGAAATCTGAAGTAATTCAATTCCTGTACTGCCGTGCTGTTGAACGGCCATGACTGCTCACTTATTCCTCCTACACGTAGGAAGTTCTGATGCCCTGAGTCTCGTTGTCAACAACTCGTAAAAAATATGATCTAACCACATTTAATTTGTTCCATGTTACTTGATATTTGTTACTAGATGTTCATATTATGTGGCACTATTATCATTACCAGAGTTGAAGCGACTGGCCTGTGCATTGTTGTGGACTTTTTACCGTGTAACATCTCTCGCTTCGCTGGAATAACTCTAGCCTGTAAGTTCATCACTGTGGTTTGGTATTGCATCGCAGGAGCAAGTAGGGGTTGGCACAAAATACAGTATTTTAGATACGACTGCTTCCTGACTTTCATTAACCTTCGAATATCGTAGGATTATACCTCACAGTCGAAGTTAAGGAGATATACAAGAATTTCTTCTCTCAGGCAGATGACGGGAACTTCCACTTGACTTGAAAACAGGTAACTGCAAAACTGAAGTTAATTATTGTTCTTAGTGGGATCTCAGCAAGGTTTTTCCGTAATTGTTAAACGAATACCGTTGACGTTCAATCTATTTAATAATATTTTGTCTATATAATTCAGAGCTCATCGGTAGACAATACTAGCTTTCGTAGAGAATTATTAGAGTATCGTTTGGATTGAGACATCACAATGGCTATTTATCTCTTTCTTAATTTAAATTAAAGTGTAGACCGCTCATCTACTTCCCTATTATTTCAACGCAATCCTAACTATGGTTACCCATTCGCACAGCCTTACATTCGTTATATTCTAACAATTTGAAATTTTGTGTTCCATTCCCCGTGTATTTTGACAGTGAAACGAGCGCTGCATAATATTCACATTTTATTGAAGAACTTGCCTTATTTTATGGAACGGAAGCGGAGATAAATGTGACGGAAAACCTGCACAGTATTATAATTATTATTATTATGTTTAATTTTGGACCAATCCACTGAGTTGAACCAGAACCAGCCATTTCAGGTTCATTTCACTGGCCGCAACCACCACTCACTTCGACTGGTCACTAGTGTTGAATAGCGTTACAATGGTTGTTGATAAAATACTCCTTATAATTTATGCATGATTTTAATTTGGACCTTTTGAACTCCTAAACCTATCCGTTTTAAACCTTATTTAATTGCAATAGGGGAATCTTATTTTGAAAAAAACATAAGTCATCAATTTTGGAAATCGACGCATAATGAAAATGATTGGATGAATTTTTCAACCTTACGTTTTTATATTGCCATCTCTCCGATCGCTATAACTTTTGCCGTTTGTTTCCGAATTGTCTTATAATCGTGAGCATCAAATTGTGGAACATCGTAAACAGTGTGAGAAAATTGAATTTTAATTGCCTTAGAAATTATCTAATTTTTTTTCACGTGAAATTCTCATAAAAATGTTTCACGTCATTTAATATTAGAATATCTGAATTCTAAAGGTTTATGTGTCAATGTGCCAGTAGTGGCAGCCAGTTCGACTTAAATGCTAACTGCAACTCATGATGATGCTATATAGGCCTTGTCTAATAGGTTTTTAGCATGATAAGTAGTGACGGTTAGTATTGGAAAATTATACTGACCGCCAAAACTGTGCCCGTGTACACGCTGCATTTAGGCTTCTTCAGCGTGCTCTTCTTCGTCTTCGAACTCCTCCTCTGCAGTGGCGTCTTGGTATTGCTGATACTCAGAGACCAGATCGTTCATGTTGGACTCGGCCTCGGTGAACTCCATCTCATCCATCCCCTCGCCCGTGTACCAGTGCAGGAACGCCTTGCGTCTGAACATCGCCGTGAACTGCTCAGAAATACGACGGAAAAGCTCCTGTATGGCAGTCGAGTTGCCGATGAATGTTGACGCCATCTTGATACCTCGCGGAGGAATGTCACAAACAGCTGTTTTCACGTTGTTCGGGATCCATTCGACGAAGTAAGAGGAATTCTTATTTTGGATATTAAGCATCTGTTCATCTACCTCCTTCATTGACATCCTGCCTCTGAAGACGGCGGCAACTGTGAGGTAACGACCGTGTCTCGGGTCGCACGCTGCCATCATGTTTTTAGCATCAAACATCTGCTGGGTCAGCTCGGGAACAGTTAGTGCACGGTACATTTGTGAGCCACGCGATGTTAAAGGCGCGAAACCTGGCATAAAGAAATGCAGTCGGGGAAACGGCACCATGTTGACGGCCAATTTTCGGAGGTCCGCATTTAGTTGGCCTGGAAATCTTAGGCAAGTTGTTACTCCAGACATTGTTAACGACACCAGGTGGTTCAGGTCACCGTAAGTTGGGGTTGACAACTTTAGTGTGCGGAAGCAAATGTCATACAAGGCTTCATTGTCGATGCAGAAAGTTTCGTCGGTGTTTTCAACGAGCTGATGTACAGACAGAGTCGCATTGTACGGCTCAACCACCGTATCGGATACCTGGCAAATGAGCACACGTTAATAAATAATATATGTACGTGCATAATTGCTTTGTCTAAATAGGTTGTTTTTCAATTTGTATTCAAACATGACACAACGGAAGACATATTGATGGTTTTGCTGAGATATTTTCATTAATCTTGCCTCTTCCTCACAATATAGGTAAGGGATCATCTTTACCATTTAGTTGATTGAAACGATTGATGCAGGCTAATTTATGTACAGAGTACACCTTCATTTATATATTAATGCTTACTTACCTTTGGACTCGGCACGACCGAGAAGGTGTTCATGATTCTGTCGGGATACTCCTCCCTGATCTTGGAGATGAGGAGGGTGCCCATTCCTGACCCAGTTCCGCCCCCCAGTGAGTGGGTCATCTGGAAACCCTGGAGGCAGTCGCAGCCCTCGCTCTCCTTCCTGACGCAGTCCAGCACCGAGTCAACGAGCTCAGCGCCCTCCGTGTAGTGCCCTTTAGCCCAGTTGTTGCCCGCGCCACTCTGGCCTTGTTAAAGTCCACACAAGAGTTTACCATTGCGAAGAGAAAACAAAGTTGAATTTTTTTCACTATAAAGTGTCTTGGATATTATAGAGACTGAACTGCCAGATAATACGTACCTGTGATAAATTATTTTTCTAGTTTCTCATTATCATGTTGAAAATTTGTAACTTTTCAAGTGTGAACCTTAATTGTGTTTACCTCTGAACAATAAGCAAACCTAATGACCAATTTTCAGAAAAGTACAATTATTGGGCCAAAATCTATGAGCTCTGCTTGAGGTGGCACCCGACCCTGATATAATTCATGCATGCGTAGCCTTGAGCGTTATATCCTTAATCGATTATATCTAAGGTCAATATAAGCAAAGTTGTTTAATTCATCAATCCTGCAAATACATGGAAGAGGAATTAGCTTTCGTTAATTGCAGTCACTTAAGTTCTCATGCAGAGTTTCCAATGCTTTTGCATTTCCTAAAGTTTTCTCAAATCCTCAACTGTATTTCCCAATTTATGAAAAAATTCTCACCGAATACGAAGTTGTCTGGCCGGAAAAGCTGTCCGAAAGGCCCGGATCGCACGGAATCCATCGTTCCGGGCTCCAGATCGACCAACACGGCTCTGGGCACGTATCTAGCATAACATGGACACGATATCAGGTGCGTTATTAGACCATCATGGGCATGTTATCAGACCACCATGAGCACGGTATCAGACCACCATGAGCACGTTATCAGACCACCATGAGCACGTTATCAGACCACCATGAGCACGTTATCAGCCCACCATGAGCACGCTATCAGACCACCATGAGCATGTTATCAAACCACCATGAGCACGCTATCAGACCACCATGAGCATGTTATCAGACCACCATGAGCACGTTATCAGACCACCATAGGCATGTTATCAGACCACCATGAGCACGTTATCAGACCACCATGAGCACGTTATCAGACCACCATAGGCATGTTATCAGACCACCATGAGCACTCAAACCAGCATGAGCACGTTATCAGACCACCATGAGCACGTTATCAGACCACCATGAGCATGTTATCAGACCACCATGAGCACGTTATCAGACCAGCATGGGCACGTTATCAGACCACCATAGGCATGTTATCAAACCAGCATGGGCACGTTGTCAGACCAGCATGGGCACGTTGTCAGACCAGCATGGGCACGTTGTCAGACCAGCATGGGCACGTTGTCAGACCAGCATGGGCATGTTATTAGTGGCATTATCAGAATAGCGTGGACGCGTCATCAGCCGCGTAAACGAACTGCTCTGGGCATGTTGTTATATGTGTTATAAGACTATCAAGAGCGCATCACTAACTTGTTGCCCGTCACTAACTTGCCACTGGTCACTTACTTGCCGCCCGTCTCTTACCTACCACCCGCCACCAACTTGCCCCTGGTCACTAACTCGCCGCCCGTCACTAACTCGCCACTGGTCACTCACTTGCCGCCCGTCACTAACTCGCCACTGGTCACTCACTTGCCGCCCGTTGCTTCGTTGTAGTAGACGTTGATGCGCTCGAGCTGCAGGTCGTGGTCGCCGCGGTAGGTGCCGCTGGGGTCCACGCCGTGCTCATCGCTGATGATCTCCCAGAACTGACCGCCATAAAAATGTGTTTTCTTCACATTTAAAGAACTCTATTACGTACTTCTATTTTTTTAATATTGTTGAAAAAATACAGCCGCATTGAGATGCAGTCTATGGCTATGCTCAATTCGTAACTGCCGGGCATAGAAATCGTCATAATTTCATTCCATTTTCAACTTAATTATATTTCCAGTGCAAATTGTAAATATTTCCAGTGCAGATTGTAAAATTTTTCATCATTCTAATATTTTCCAAGGGTAATGAAATGCAGTTAATTTTTAAGCCCGATGCGTAATGTGTTGGTTGCATCTGAGGTCAGGTTAATTCAAATATAATTTATAAATTAAAATCTAGTTTGACAGGTTTCTTGCGTGATACAATATTCTCATGAATATTATCATTAAGGCATGCAAAATTTTACCGTAAACTCATTTCAGAAAAAAATTATCCAATAAAATTATGACCAGGTTTAAAATATGATGTTACAGAAAACTTGTGTTGGAATGGATTAGATCTCTGAAATTGAAAAGTTATTTGATTTAGTATTCTACCAATTAAATATATTTTATTGCAGTAAATGCTAACCAGTATTTCAGTATTGAAATTGATTAGCTTGTTACTTTCCATCGTGTGTGTCCCATCATGAGTTTTCATTTGTTTTTATGTGGTGAAATTATTTGAATTAGTTCAACCCGGTCCATATTGAAAACTCTACGGATTATGCAACATAAATTTAACTATCTTTTGGGTTGTATTAATTTAATTTTTCTATTTCGTTTGTCTTATATCAATGTAACTAGAAATATGCATGTTTCTTCTTTGGCGCTTCAAGGTTGAAGCATATCTCAGCAGTAAAAAGTTTTGGCGTTAACTTTTTTCCCTCCGCTTACTGCACTATTTTCTTCAAAATTAGAAGTACATTTCATATATTGATAAAGATGATAAGCTCCGATGTCATCATGGATTTCAAATTATATTAATGCTAAAACTCAGGAACATTTTTTAAAGTTTTAGGCCATAAATATCAACCTACATTTTGTCTTATATTTATGAACGAGTATAATGAGCTCATTTGTCTCTACATCATTCAATTGATAATACTCATCAATATGAATATTCGATCAATAAATCAAAATCACGAACGGCAAAAATTCAATAACATTTTTCCAAATTTAAAATAATTTACAAAATTATTTTCGCTATGACTCATATATATATATGAAGTTCGTGAAGCCTACATCAAATTTTAAATGTTTATTTATTTATTATTTTTTCTTCACTCTATTGGACAAAATCATGCCAGTTTTCAGACAAATTCAAAAATTGCAAAATAATTTTGCATGTCATTAAAATACGGTATTTAGCTTGTCTATCTATTATTACATGCACTTGCAATTAAAAAGCGACGAAGAATTCCTGTCTCCGCATTAGACTGTTCCTTCAAACAAAAGACTTTGTGGCTCTCAATTTCTGTCCTAATAAAACCTCATGCACTGCTCAAATATAAAACCAAATTCACGGCTTAATATTCAAACACTTTTATCGAGAAGACTTTTTAATGTAAAAATACTAATCAATAATCAAGCGCACAGATTCGTTAAACCATCAGTAAATCTAGCTCAGCTTACTTTGGCACCGATCTGGTTGCCGCACTGGCCGGCTTGCATGTGGACGATCTCTCTCATGGTGAAGAGCTGGACACAACCTCTCTCGGTCGCGGCTCAATGCCGAATGAGGAAACTCTTGTAGTGCCACCGTGCATGAGAAAGGAAAACTTGGAAACGCCTGAAACAATAACGTCTAAATCTTTATGTATGGATCCCTGGACGATAAATAACAGAGATATCTTAAAACATCAGACGTGAGGGTAAAGATTATCCGAATAACATGCGATTAGTTTCCACCAAATTTATTTCTTTTTGCGACTTGAAATGCTGGCATTGGCATGACTGTTGTCTGCTATCGATTGGTCAGCAATCGATCAATTTTCCTTGCATTTGAAGAAAGTTTAGCTTCCTTTCGATAATAAATTATCTTTACTTAAGGTAAATGATATAATTAAAAACAAACGTGTATGCTCTGCATAATTATTTATCCAGAGATAAAGGATACACTCACGAGCTACATTTAGCAGTTAGACTAGCGAGCTACTCACGACCTCAATGTATTCCTGCACGGTGAACGCGCCGTTGTTTCTTTTCTTAAATAACATTTATGTTTAATTCAAGCTTACGAAGTTTAAATCAATTCGTGAGCTTCTTCGTGTGAAACTCAATAAGAAATTTAATAATCCTCCATGTTTTAATATGTTATTTTGTAAGTAATACACAACATACAAATAATTTAATGCATTCATGTTCTGGAACCAAACTCTTACTTAGTCCCTTAGAGTGCTTGAGAAATCAAATACCTCGGGATAAAATATTTCTTTACTTAGTTATTATTAATTTACATTAATTAAAACAAAGACGGTTTTCTCGGCAAATTTGAAGACAAAATCAAACAAAATGTAAAAATCAATATGAAACCAACTTAAATATTTGTTGGTCTTAACCGAATCTGTTCATAATCATCCTTTATAAACCACTTTAAAATATAAAATTATTTATGTTTGGGAAAAAGAGACTATGCGGAAGAATGTTAAGCGATTTATTCTTAAACAACTATTTAATGGATGCATCTTGTTTCTGTGATCATGTAACAATACAACCATACCATTATTTCAATATCTTGTATAAGTTCAGTTAAGTTTTTTTTTTTCCTATCAAAAAAATTTTGAACTGAAATTAAGTTCAGTGATAACGAAACTGCAAAAAAATGAAATTTCTAAGTTTTTTAATGCGAATAGATATCAAATTTCAGTCAATTTTAATTACGAGCTCAACATTTGTTTCGCTCTATTCAGTAATAATATCTATATATACATATATATATATATATATAATGAGATTTCCGCAACTTAGCTCATAATGCGGTCTCTGACTCATCGGTTATTTGATTGAAATTTCGATAGACAATTTACAGACGCTTGTATTCCTCAGCTCGGCGTGACGTCACAAAGTAACGCAAACAGGAAGTTATCAATAGAACGTTGCGTGGTGCGTGAGACGCGCAGAGCCTTGCTTGACATCACGCACCCACTGTTGCCATGGTGACGGCATCAGATGCCATCACCATGGCAACAGTACATTTTAACTGCCACCACAACTGCAATCTTATTACGCGACCGCTCCCGCATTATTGACCCATGCGTGGAAATGCTTGTCTAGTAGCTGGCCGACGTTGAAGTTACTCATGCTTGAAAATTACAATAAATTAAATTTCAGTATTTTGCTGACTTTGATGTAACCCATGCTCAAAAATTGTAAATATATTATGTTTATATTATATAAAATAATCTATGATAAATATAATATAATATCAATATTATTTCAGTTGCTTTCATATATTGACATTATAAATGAAAATGCGGGTAAATGTTATCTCAATATATTGCAGGTGTTGAAGTTACTCCTGCTTGAAAATGGTAATAAATGTTATTTCGGTATTTTCATGATGCTAATGTTGGTCATGCATGAAATGGAAAATAAAGTTTTTTTTTTTCAATATCATGCCGATTCTGAAATTTTAATACAAGTCTTGAAGTAATGTGAAAAATATGTAAACACAACACAAATCATTAAAACACTCAAGTCAATGTCTTAGAAGCGTGAGGACATTAAAGAATGTGTAGTTGGTCAATATAGTATCATTACATTTTCCTGAATTTTCACCAATTTGAGAAATTTACATTTCAATTATTAGAGCAGTGACGAAATGTGTAAGGAATTTACACAATCGAAGGGTATTGAATATTAATTTGAAGAATGAACGAAAAAAAATTTGCCAACACTGGCCGAGGCGCATCCGGTAGAGCACAGGATGGGCCAACGGGAAATGGTTTTGAAATGGCGCATCCAAAAGAAGGGATGGCCCAAACAAGTTTAATTTTGCATGTTGCTAAATCAACAGCCTCTCTAAGCTGCAGTAAAAGAATCAAATTGGGTTGCGAGCGTGGTCCGATTTTCAACTTTTGGAGTGGTCTTCGGTGACGCAGTCGTGACGTAGGGCACAGAATGTGAGAATAACGGGTAGGTCAAAGAACGTCCATTGATGATACCCAGACCCGACTGTGGATACTGGAGAAAAAATCAAGAGACTATTAGGTAATAGCGCAAGGCGAAGAGGTGAATTGTATTGCTCAGCCTATCAGAGTTCAAGTACTGACCTGAGGTTTTAATTCCCAGTGATCAAACTTTATGGAGGTTACAATGAATTAAGGATTAACTTTAGAAACTTAGAGGAAATCAGTTAGAGGAGTAGGAAGTTGGACGGAAAGGATAGCAAGAATAGCTAGAGGTTTGACATTGCTCGAAAGAAGAAGAAAGACTTAAATTAGGATTGCACAATAAACCACAGTTGTATCAACTGCTTAAGAGGATTGTTCTAAACCTATTTCTGAATAGAAAATAAATTATACTCTTAATATAATTCGATACACTTTGAATATACTTTGATATAGATTTAAATATACTTTGATATAGATTTAAATATACTTTGATAAAGATTTGAATTTGATATAGATTTTGATAGAATTTATTATAGATTTGATACTTTCATAGGTATTTAGACTAACAAGGTACAAATCATAGTTATCTAGACCATGTCCAACTTCCTTCAGGGGCAACATAAGCATAGATATTGCGAACAAAACATAACGAAAAGGACACGGCATTCACTCAAACTAAGGAACAGAGAGCCAGATTTCAAGGAAGTATGGTAGGAATACTTGATGATGCGATGACCGAAGCTTCAGAGTATGTGAATAATTGAATTCTGGCTGAGAGGCCCAGCACCACCACTCGCAACCGTGTGAAAATGAATTCCTCTTTTGAGCGTTCCCTGCAACGGACCTCAACTTCCTCCTCAAGTCAAGTTAAAGCAAGTCGGACTGCGCGCCAGGTATCCACTTTTTCTTATCTCGCAAATAGTGGTAAAGGAAAATGAAAATTGGAAACTTGCTATTGGGAAGAAATGAATAATTTCTCACAAATGAATTTCAGTCGAGCATTCTATTCATTTCTCATGTATGTAGTATCTGTATGAATTTATTGTTTGACGAGTCATCTTTACCTAATAACTGTCACAATTTTAGCGTATGTTAGACAAATTAACGGATTCTTTCAGGTTGTTTAGACAGTTTTTCTTGGAATGCCGTAGGAGTGAATTAAGACCTTCCTGAATTATTAGTTTAGCTGATTATTGTCGCATTTGCCGTGCTTCACCAATGTGGTGCATTGAGTGAATCTTATTTTAACATTTTTCTGGGATTATCTAGCGAGTGCCACTTTCTTATTATTATTTATTGTTATTATATGATAATTGAGCGAGTCTTCCTGTGTGCCACAGCTGTCTTTTCTAGTTTCCAACTATTTCTCAGAGGTTAACCTTGTGTTACAACTGCTAGTCTCTAACTAGTCCTCAGAGGTTAACCTTGTGTTATAACTGCCAGTCTCCAACTAGTCCTCGGAGGTTAACCTTGTGTTACAACTGCTAGTCTCTAACTAGTCCTCAGAGGTTAACCTTGTGTTATAACTGCCAGTCTCCAACTAGTCCTCGGATGTTAGCCTTGTGTCAAATGTCTCGGTAGGAGCTTGTTTTTTTCTGCGGGGTTGGTTACTCGATAACCATATCAAAATTACTCGATCATCGAATCCTAAAGACTCGATAATCGTATCCAAATGACTCGATTACGGTACTCGAATGACTCGATAATCGAATCCTAATGACTCGATAATCGAATCCTAATGACTCGATAACCGTATCGCGCTATTGCCGCTTACTGCCGCTGTAGTCGAGACGCCGCTAGACCGAGGCGTCGATGCAACGCTAACGAGTGGCTCTAGCAACGGAACCAAAACCATCTCTCCGGCACTTCCGTTACACTGCTGCAGCTTCTGCGAGAATGTAGATTCACATGAGGCCGCAGGTAATGTTGGCATTAATTTTTAACTGGGAGGGTTTGGATGACCCGTACAATTGTTAAATATAATTGATATTTGAACAAAGTCTCATTCGTTTTGCTGAGTGTAAGTGGCTTCTTTATATGGATAAGTCACATTCGTGCAACTATTCCGTTGTCTTCGAAGAAGCGGCTCACCAGAAAAATCTGATAAATGGCGCGATAGAGTAACTACTGAAAATAAATCATAAAATTATTTTTATAACTTCCATCCGCTGGTATTCTTCCATGCGCTGTTGTTTTCCTTGCAACAGCTGGGTCATCTTGATTGCTAGTGACGCTTAAAGTTATTTGCCGGATAATTTGTATTTCTTGTTGTGAAGTGAAAATATGATCGAGAACGATTGTCTCGAAGCTGATATGTGTTGATTGTACGATGAAACCTCAGACCAATTAACTCTGAGCCGTGTTTTTAGTTTATATGCAGCCGAATATATCTTTTATTTGATTGAGAGTCAGATGGCATCCACGTAAAAGGAATACTTATTTTAATCTCACATTCATTTTAGTGGTAGTCGGATTTTTTCTCAAATTAAATGACTTCAGTTGAATTTTTTTAGATGCCAACGCAAAAGTTATAACGGTACACTAATTGACGCTCATTGGCAAAATTCAGATCAGTTTCGTCATTGTTGGAACATTTCAACATCTAAATTAAAAACATAACAAGAATAATTATATATTTCGAACACACATATTTACCGCCCCTCTTAATTGAATTAATTGTCTGCAGAAGAAGTTTCGGGCTGGAGTTACTAAGAGTCCTATCACGTTCCAAAAACAATGCACTACCAGCAGTAAAGTTAATGATATGATGGTTATTAAATATTGAAAATGTTACTATAGTTGAAAATAACATTCCATTGCCACGCATTGAAACAGTTTGATTAGATATCAGCTTACGGAACTGCAAGGCGCCCGCAGGACACATATAATTGATAATTGATGTTAAACGATGTGAATTCTAGGGTGTTATCGTTATCTCTGCAGCTGACAATGATGAGACAGTATCACGGTACCCAATTTGCAGTATCTCTGGTGTAGAGCTGATAGCTGCAATGCATTCACTACACTGATGACTACACTGCTGGTAATAAGTAGGTGGTCGGTGGGATCAGTATTAGAAAATTCAACATATGTGTCAGTATAATGAACCCAGAACATATAAGTGGTCAAACATAATTATTGAGATAACCGATATTAATAGAGAAAAATGGTGATAATTCTATAATATATTTTCAGTAACTAACGACGCTGGCTTCGTTCCGTTCCGATGGAATAACAAAATAAAAGTATATAGATATTTTAATTTAAAATAATATTTCATATGTATTTTTTGAAATTGCTGCCAATGAAAAACTTCCGAATAATTGCCCGCATGTGTATCGGACACAGGCACCTTTAAACGAATCGTGTATCCAAAGACAACATCGTACGTATATGGATATGATTGTCGAAACAAGTCCAGTATCACAATTTTTGCTCAAAATATTGCCAGTATCACAAAACTAGAAATATTTTATGAGAAAAAGCTGGCAAAATATGAATTCTCAGAAGGTCTTTCAAAATACTGTAGTGATCAAATGTTTTCGCAAGTACGTACCTATATTAAATTGCACTTTCTTGTTTCATTAATAATTGAGAAATTTTGAAGAGCACCTGAACTTGTTTCCGCAGGGAACAACAATCGAAAACGATTGGAAACCCCCAAAGAAATCAATAGTAGAGTAATCAATATTGCATATTTCTTATTATTGTGTTTGAAAATTTTTATGCTCTAAAAATTAATCTAAAATCGAAGCTTTCATGCAATAAAAATAAAATCTTACTCGAATGTGAATGAAAAATATGAGCCCCTGACATGAAGGTATTCGACATTCGATTAATAAAACATGAAAGTTAGTGAACTTTACTAGTGAACACTTGCAAGATTGTTTGTGCAAAAGCAAGGTTCTATACGGAGTTGCTTACAAACCGTGAGCCGGTAAACACAGTTTGTGAAGAGGACCTTGACAAGCTATTCATTATATATCCTAGAGCCAAATTAATCCAATCAATGTATATCCTACGGCCAAATTAATCTAATCAATGTATATCCTACGGCCAAATTAATCTAATCAATGTACATCCTACGGCCAAATTAATCTAATCAATGTATATCCTACGGCCAAATTAATCTAATCAATGTATATCCTACGGCCAAATTAATCTAATCATTGTATATCTTATAGCCTAACGACGTGCCTAGAAAAGGGCAATGGTAAATTTTTAGAGATTCGATAAATAAATGGATGTCATTTTTTCTAGCTTCAATACAGAGGCAAAATGTAATGTATGAAAACTTTAGCATTTTAATAGTATGTAACTGTAAAATTAATGCTTCCAATTAGTCTCAAATTGGTAAAATTTTTCTACCATGTGCAGGTAAACAGTTTCGAAACTCTCATCTTCGCATTTATTCAACTATCTGATTAAAATGGATCAAAAAACGAGTTTTGAAACAGTGAAGCCTCTAGAATATCCTATCTATGCCAAACTTGATGATATCAGCAGGTGTGTTCATTATGATGACTTTAAAGTTGCCGTTCAAAGGCAACTGCTCGTACCTCAAGGTCTTAATAACAGCAGGACAGTGCTGCCCCAAAAGGTGAGCTCCAGCTGTGATTGATGAACAGAAAAAGTTATGCCATTTAAAATATGCAGCTGCTGCTTTACATAATGATATGTATATACGAGTACATTATGACATGAATATCAAGCACTCCGACACATATGAATGAATGAGTGTTTGTTATTGCAACACAAACCCCAACGCATCTTTAATCCAATGCTGAAAGATTTGGATGATTGGTCCCTCGATTTTGCCAAAATATCGTAATTTATTAAATTAATAAGTGACATATTTTATAACGCATCTATGCATTATTCCTTACCATCTGTTTCATAATACCCCACATTAATTATTACGGGTCCATCGTGCAGTGGGCTTGATGCGAGACTCTAACCAATAAACCACTATAGGTTCGTAACACTCCTCGTGATTCAACACAGACGAGAAAATAAAGACGACCGCACATTAAGCTTTCATGCAAACAACGAGGATTGACAACATTTCAATGAACTGAAGTATCATGTCCAGACTTCAGAATTCTCTCTACAAAAGTGATACAACTAATTACCAGAAAATTGCACAAATGATTCGCGTATAAAACACACAATAAAACCAGACAAGAATTTTTCACATCTAAATCTACGAGTATACAGGTTTACTTCACACGATTAAATTCCAGGTCATATAATAAATCAGAACGGTACTGTAATAATTTAAAATATCAAACGATTGAATACACAGTTACCACACTTTCAGCGTTCATTGTGGTGATGCAGACCGAATGACACAAGAAATTATTGCTATCCATCACTTCAGACTCAATACAGCATCATCATTCATAGGCATCTATAATTGGCATTATTTAATACTCTACGACATTACTCTCACCCCTCAGATTCATCCCCACATCACATTCATAGGTATAGTTGAAGATGATTATTGCGCAAAGAGCCGGAAACAAATTCAACGTCTCAGAGGGAAAGGTACCTAAAAAATAAATGTTTGTGTTACTTCTCCGTGATAATATTTTATTGTTCTCAGGTGCTGTGGTTCGCTCCATCGCAGTCGAGCTCGGAGCACAATTTCTACGGCAACGTCAGCTTCACCATCAAGTGGAAGACCGTGCTACAGAAACTCGGTCCGAACCTCTACCTCATCGACCAGGCCATTTATAACACCAGAAGTTTCACTAGAGTCGTGTTGACTAAAAATAATTATGACGGAATTTTACCCAGGTTGAATTTAGATTCATCTGGCTCACCCATGATAACTTCATTGCTTGGTTTCTACCACGCTTCTCAATGCATGAACAGAGCTGGGGCCGTAGGCCCTCATGAGCTGCAGATAGCGATCGAAGTGGACGATGCCGATGCGAGGTGGCTCTACAGGGAATGTTGTGTGGCTGCAAATAATCATTCTGAGGCTAATGCTCCTAATTTTGGAGACTATACAAGAAGAAATGGAGAAGAATCAAAATTTAAATCATTCAAATGCTTCAAGTTTAATACTGCACGCAATTGTGTATGTTTTTATAAGTGGACGCTTGAAGAGTGCGAGGAACACATGAAGGCGGTACTGGGGGCGGCTAAACCATCAACTAGCAGTGGACATCGTGCAACTACACGAGAGTCGTGTAGCCTGTATGACATGGATCTACACACAGCTACATTGCCATCAACTAGCCGTGCCAATATGGGGCAACGTACATCTACACGATCAGAGAGCAATGGTGGTGCGATCGCAGTGGCAGCAGTTGCAGCAGTGGCAGCAGCTGCAACTGTGTTTTTTGCATGGAGGAAGGCATCCAGAGATTCAAAATAAACGTTTATATATCAACCAGCAGTTACAGAATGGGATTTTTCTCTGCAAGTTGCTATTTTTATAACATTTTTTGGTCTAGTAACAATTGGCAATTTTTATTCTTTCACTTTTTGTTCATGGCGCATTGTCAGGAAAATACCTCTGTGATCGCTGAGCTTCCGTCACTTTAACAGGGAATTGTTCTGGCATTTCTCAAAGGCTTAAGGTTTAGTAGCTATTAATGATTTAATGGACTCTTTCAAAATTCGTAGGTATATTTAGTAAACAACTTCATCTTAATTAATTGTGAATCCAATTTAAACAATGGTATTGATTCTTTTCCGGTAGTACAACTGTCAGCGAATACTTCAAAAAAATTTCCCAACGTCTTAGCTGCAATGTAGGTATTTTTTACGCAAAAATTTTCCAACTTAAATTTTATTTATCTCTATTATACTATGAACGTAATTTGACTCCAAAATGACATTAAACTCCAGATTGAGCGATAATGTTAGCAGAGAATAAGATCATTTATTTAATAGTTTCCCAAGCTTAAATTATTGTTCGCTAAATTCTCGATAGTGAGAAATGACTATGAAAGCCAAATCTTTTCGAAATTATTTCAACGAGACAGTCATTTGCAATGGATAGTTGAATTTTACCTGCAAGGCGGGTAGGCTTGACCTGACGTCATGTGACATTATCACATTATCATCAGCATTATTTTCAGAGCTACCGGTTTTGTTTCTGAGCGTATGGAAAACTATCGCACGAGGCACCATCACCGTGCCTAAAACGCCATCGATATCATGCTCTATAAAATTGCCTCCTCCTGAAATGGATTGCATTGCAGTCTCCCTCGTGAATTATTTTGAGCTGCCAATGAAGAAAGAAGATTTATAATTCATCACTCATCAATGTTTTTTATTTCTATTTGAGAATGCTTTAGCACATTTATGAAAATTTTTTTGAGTTATAAAATTACCTACTGTTCGTCGGTGTATCTTTCATCGAGAAATATTTTTGCCTATTTTTATTTAAATCATAGCATTAGTATCTTGATAAAAATGAGGTATTTGTTTTGTTTCTTCAACCATAGTTATGTTTTCTTTAGGCTGGTAAATAGAGGATTTATAGGGGCTGGCAAACAAATGTATTTGTGTTTTGGGCCCAATTCGGGCGCATCTACATTTAAAATGAAGTCAAAGTTGGAAGCCAACTGAAATATTAAATTAATGCAACTCCCTGAGACGGGAGATAAGTAAATGAAAGCCTCTATGGGTTTGTTTTGATTCGTTATATATTATAATTGTAAGGCAAAAATTGTTTTCATGTTTGAGTTCTTAAATGTGCCACTGTTAAGAATCTATAAAGTGTTTGAAAAAAAAATAAACTCTACGTATCTTCATGATAAGTGCATGTGGGAATCCAATGTCCTCGATAGCATTTCGGTTTTGTTATATGTGGATTACTTTTAAAGTAGCAACCTAAACTTTAAACTGACATCTCTTTTATTCAGTTAGACAAAGTTATAAATGTCCATTTAGAACTTAGAATTTAGAATTTTAGAACTTAGAATTTAAATAAAACCAAATTAAAGATATATTTCTTTAAATATTTAGCGACACATGATCAAATTCTGCACTCGTCATGAGCATGCACTTCCCCGAATAATAAAGTGAACATATAAACTACAAAATATACTGTACGACAAGATTGTTGTACAGTATTAAACACAAATTATACTGCAACGCAAATTATACTATACAACAAACTTGTTGCACAGTATAATTTGCTTCTTCACATCTTCAGGAAATTTTTGGAAAACCACTCATTTACACTGGTACCGCATTCCTGCCACCACCATCTCCCGGTGAAAGCGTTCAGCAAATCCGTCAAACTGAGGTTGTCAAAATAAGTGTGCTCTATGAGTTCCTATGTCTGTCACCTAAGAGAACACCAGACTTAATTAACTTCTTCATTCTTCATTAATACACTAAATGTATATATATTATAGTATATTGGTTGGTATATTGATTGTGTTCTCTTTTTTATGATGGCATGATCTATAGGGGGGCAACGCAAAAATAAAAATTGGTATCATGATCAGTTCCTTCCCTCCAAATCATGGGTACCGCAAATGGTAGGGCTCGTTTTACTGTCACGTAACCGGCCAGAAAGCCCTGCATATCAAGTACAGCAAATATGAGGAGCTCAAGGTTGTTCTTTGATCCCTCAGCTTACAATCACTGTAAAAATGGTAAGCTTCTTTATCACTGGTGTAATAGTACGTTTCCGTGAAACCAATATATATCTTGCACAGAAACAAAAGTATTATGCTTTCATACTTTCACAGAAAATATACCTAACCTCTAGCAATAACTTGAAAAATAGACTTAAACGAACTTTTCCAATGTCAGATTCATATTCAGCACCCCTCAAATTGGTTTATTTCAGCTACTTTTGTCTCTGTCACAATTTATTTGTTGACCAGTGTTATTGGAGCTACTCCAAATTCACTTTCAGTAGTGAAGAGTCTCAGCATCGACCAAGACTCTTACATAACCTTGAAGCCCGCAATTCGTCTTGCAAATGGCTGTATTTAACAACTAATTCTTCGCAGCTAATATCCCAGAATTGACATCACTTACATGATGTTATGTTTAAAGGCAAGTGAAATTAGCAGAGTGGCAAATATTATTGCTGTGCTCCTTCAATACTCTTTTTAATTCATTTGTCCAACCATGTTGTGTAGATTGGAAGACGGAGACGGTTGTGTAGACGGAGTCCGGCACTCGTTGTAGACGGTCTTGAGAGTGATGGTCCAGCTGTCCGGCTGGTGAGACGTGAATATATTGAGACAAAACTATACAGGAATATTGAAAACGCGCGCTTATTTTATTGATATTTAGACAAGACAAAGTATACTCACGAGGGTCCGAGTTTTTATTTTTTTTTTATTTTTTTTTTTTGCGTGGAATTACTGATGTGAATAGATTTAAGGGATCTGTGAGGCTGTTTAATTTGTACCTATTTATTTTCCTTAACTGTTTTATTTAGAGTTCGTTTGCCATCATATGTGTGTACTAGAGTAAAAACTAAATTCTCAGCTATTAATAACTCGGTAGAGAAATACTTATTTCCTATTTTTTAATTCCATAAGAATTCTACATGTAGCTGGTTTCTTGGCGATTCACTTCAGTTTGTCCAACAGAGTTACATGAACGTTAAATTGCATGTCATATAGCAGGTAAAATCCTTGGATGTTTCAATACAGAACTTTCTCATGAGGTGCCGAATTTATTCATTACTGTTATTTTATTTCTCGTGTAAGGCTGTCCCTTAATATTCTTCCCAGTAAATAATAAAATATTCTTTCATTTCGATGGAACAATTTGATCGCACATAAATTAGTAGGACTGTATTTTTATCGATATCTTAATGCATATAACTAACTACAAACTATATCCTTGTAGGGGTTATTAGGTCCACGCTACCTACCAGAGCGATGTCCTTGGCAGTAGTGCCCTTGGGAAACCCTTGAGAAGCTTGTTCTTCTCACTCCAGTGTCCCGGAGTTGCTATGCAGAGAACTTGTGTATGATAAGCGTCGTGTGATTCATGGATTGTTTTTTAGGTTTGTATAGGCTTCAATGTCTGGATTTTATCACAGAATCTTGGACAAATACATGAAATAACGATGCAAAAAACAAATTATTGTTGGCCTTTAGCTGGTGCGACTCATGATGGCTTCAGAAAGTCGAAATGTCCACAGCTGGAGATATCCATGTCAATTTCATCAATGGTCCTAATTCAACAATCAACAATTTTGTAAACATTCTGGTGCTTGCAAGCAACTTTGCAAAAAACTTTGTTTAGTCAACTTTGTAAAAAATAATAAGCATAAAAAATTACAAAATTTAAAGCATTGAACTGTCACTTTCAGAGCAATGCCCATCATTGTGCTGAATTAAGTTCGACTTACTTCATACAGTTATGAAAATTGAGCGGTGAAAATCATTTGAAACTTGGACACTTGGAACGCAAGGCGATGGCCCATAAAAGATTAATGGCAAATTTTTACAGTAATTTTTTAAGAACGACTGGAAAGCAACACAGAGAAGCATCGTTGATAAATATTATTTAAGCATGTAGCTCGAAGTAAAATCACAGGTTTCATTGATGTAAGGGATAATATATGCTCCACTGGGTTACTCTGAAATTTTAATACTGCATTAAACTCAATCATCGAATGTTGAAAACTATTTTTGCTGGAAACTGAACTCACTCTATTCGATTTTCATTCGTAGGAAATAAATTTCAATATAAAAGGTGGATTTTAGGTAGGCTTTCGTTTTCCCTCGACAACAGAAAACTTCTAGACAAATTCTTTTATGGCTTTCATTCGGGAATTCAAAATTATGAGCAAGATTTTGCAACTGGTTCTTCCAAGCAAGTGGCAAAGGTCTTTGTGTTTATTTGCCGTCTTAAGATTGAAAAAAAACAGGATATTTATTACATGTGCAATAATATTGACAAGTATATTTTGAAAATTACGCTGAAAGTTATTAAAATAATGTAGGTGCAATATGTTTGAAAAGCGAAATTAAAATAAATCAACGTAATTTATTGAGATACGATGATTATTACTATAACCATTTTTAATTTGTAACCTCTTCATATATAAGGTCAGCTTTCACTGAATACCTGCAAGCTTCGCCATTTCAAGAGCATTTACATATGTACTCTGTCCCAATTGTACATCTTAGAGCCGATTACTCTTTATAAACAACAGTTTAGTTACCTTATCTCAATGATACGCTAGCCAATGGATATTATGAACTTCAAGTCATAGAAAGAATGGAACCATTGCCCATCGGATAAACTCTCAAGGTTTGACATTATCTCATCCAACACAATTTAAATTTCCAATTAAATATAGCAGACTTTCAATTAATTTGAATTTAATAACATTAACTCCCCCCAAGCAGGTGTAAATTCACGGAACTGTAGTCGGCAACATTTTGCTGGACACTGCCTGATCAAAAATGTCTATAATGACGCATTTTAAACCTGTGCAAGTTTTAGCCGATCCTCTGTATGCTAAACTTGATGAAATCAGCCGATGTCTTCATTTCGACGACTTTCTGCTGAATTATCAAAAAGAAAACCTGATCCCGGCACTAATCGACAACAGCCATAAGAAGCTTCGAAAGAAAGTGAGATTCAGAGGCCAGCCTTTGAGTTGGGATAACTGCTACGTGTCTCATAAAAATGTTGATAAATTATTGTGCATTCATAAGCATATTCGAGTACACAAATTGGCATTAATGAATGCATAATAATGTTCATGTACGTATCCATAACTGCAGCACACCATGCACGTTCAGATCCTAATGCCTACTTTTCCGATCGATTGCGATATCAGCGCACTTGCCTATGAGTAGTTAGCAAATTTGAATGACACTGTAGCATTATTGCATACAGACGCAGACAATAGGCGATGTTTAGAAATGGTTAATTGTTATGCGATTACATTCGAGACGAGACTCTTACATTGAGAAAAATACGTTTAACCAGAAAAGTAAATATAACTCTTGTTCTCAGGTGCTGTGGTTCTCTCCCATGCAACCAAGATCAGAGCATAACTACTTCGGCAACGTGAGCTTCATCATCAAGTGGGAAAGCGTGCTAAAGAATTTTGGTCCAAATCTCTACCTTCTGGACCAGGCCATTTTCAATAGGCGATCTTTCACCCGAGTTGTGCTCACAAGAGATAAGTATGATGAATTAACGGAAGTTGATTTGCATTCAGAGGGCTCACCCTTGCTAAAATCCGAGTCTGGTTACAGCCACGCTACAGAATGCATGAACAGAGTTAACCAGGGTCCTCACGAGCTGCAGATCGCGATCGAAGTGGACGAAGATGATATGAAACCTTTTTTCTATGATTTTAAAATTTGCTCTAACAATCATTCTGAGGCAAATTCTATTTATAAGGGACCGGACGCTGATGAGGCATACTCAACTTTTGAATCCTTCAAATGCTACAAATATAATACGAAGTTGAAGAAAAAATGTCCCTACCAATATACTCTTGATGTGTGTCAAGAGGCATTGGAACATAATGTTTAAACAAGCCTCGCCCATGGTGTTCTAAAAATTATACGCCTGTGAGTACATGATGTATTTACCATGAACCCAGATATCCGGTTTCAGATGACCTGTAAACAGGAACTAACGAAACCATTCCGATTTTACTCCTGTCCAGAATACTAGGCTTGAAAATTGTCATTTATTTCCTAATGTAAATTACTGTCTCTGCTGAAAATTAATATTCGAATGTAATTAATGAAGTCGCCGTCACACCAAGCCGATTGTTTGTTCTACAAATATCGGTTTGCCTAATTAAGTTACAGATTGGTTTGTTCTAGACGGGAGCTGCAGCAAAAAATAACCGTTATAAGTATCATTTGCTTGCAGGAATTCATATAAATAGTATGAATGAAATTTTGCTGACAATTTGAAGTATAATAGACTTTTGTCTAACTGGTTCAGCTTGACAAATGGTGTGAAGTCTTAATAATTTTTGTTGAAAGTCCACCAAGTTGAGATGTTATAAGTTAAGGTTACTTGAACTCATTAATGTTTTGTGAGGCTCTTAATTCTTCTCATTTCATCACACTAGCTCTTCAAAAGTTTCAAATTTACTACCTATACTAGTTTCTCTGTTCATCACGTTTCTAGTTTTACACACTAGTTTTTCAATCAGTTTTAAGCCTTGTAATCATGTATCTTTCTCTATCACAGTAGTTATTCAATATGTTCTAAGTTCATTACTCACATTCCTCAGTATATTAGTATAGTGCATCATGTTTTAAGCTTTTTACTCATATTTCTTTGGTAATCACTCAAGTTCAATATATTTAAGGCTTGTTACATTTCCTTGTTTACCAAGTTATTTCTTAAACGTACTTCATGCTTATTGCACATGTTACTCAGTTTTCCCCTCTAGCTTATCATTTTTGAAGATTGTTTCAATGCTCTTCTGTTTAATCCTCTAATTCAATATCTTTTAGGCTTATCATTCGTATTCAACATTTTTTACGATTGCCACGCATTTTTTCTGTTCATCCCTCTAGTAAAACAGCATCAAGAATTTAAAAGTAGAGAAATCAAAAACAAATTCATCATATCTTCATGGGATTCATGCGTGTGGTAGCAGTGCGCGCACTATGACGTTTGGCATTGTTCTACTAAGTGCTTCCGTCGGTTTTTGTGCACCTCCGGGACCGGGATGCATGTCTGTACATGTACTGCAAGTCGTGTTTACACGGCGATCCTGCGAGCGGCTCATTATATCAGTCGTGGTCCGAGTAAGTCCGTCCTAACGGTATACTTGGAAAACCGTCGTAATTCCCGAGCTAATACATGCAACTCATATCCCGAAGTGCTTGCAGAAGCATCGAATGAAGCCTCTATCCGATACATGCCCAACGGCGTGGTGCTCTTTGAGCAAGCGCACTGCTGTCGCACGCACAAATTCAATGAATTATACATAGTGAATTTGCATGGCGCTTTCCATGATCTTAAATTCATGGTGAACTTGCGATTTAGGCAGAGTAATGATAAAATACATCATATTTGAGGCTTGTGGCTTATTACACACGATTCCCTGTTTATCACACTACTTCTTAAATGAGTTCTAAGATTATTTCAAGGAAGGTATCATTTAAAATTACTGAATTTTATTCATTGAATATAATCGTTCAGAAAAATGTTTTTCCCGATCATACGTGCTTATCTCGCATTTCATGGGAATCGATTTGCATTGTGTAAGAAAAATATCTTATGTTCGATTGATAAACAACTGTTATTAAGCATTATTTTGAATCAACCCCTAGTAAACTAACTTGCGATTAAACACTGCCTGACGTGTGTAATATACGTGAGGAATAGGAGAATAAGAGAGCGACTTCTCGCCGAACTAAACAAATAACGAAATAGTGCGAATAGATGAATACAAGAATAATCGATTTGAAGATAAGTTCATAAGAATACCGAATGCATAATATTGTAACGAACCGAAGATTCGTACGTGAAAATAGCTCTGCTGCAGCTGATCAGCTCCGTTATTAGCAGGGCTGCTGGAGAAAAAGTGTTCTCGGCATTTCGCTTGAACTTGGTTTCAATGTTTCTTGTTAATTTGGATGACATCCTTACATACACAAAGCGAACTTAGTACTGTTAATGACTTCAGTTAATTATTCTTAAAATTAATTAAACATAGTAATTTTTTTAAAAATTTATTTTTTAAAAAGACTTAAAAACTTAATATAATAATCGTAGATTGGGGAAATTTTACTGCTATATATATGTGCAGGTAAATAGGTGCGAAACTCTCATTTTCGCGTCTATTCAAATATCTGATCAGAAATGGACAGAGAAACGAGTTTTGCAACAGTGAAACCTCCTGAATATCCTATCTATGCTGAACATGATAACAGCAGGTATGTTCATTTCGATGACTTTTAAATTGCCGTTCCAAAGCCAATTCTTGTGCTCCAACGACTCCGTAACACCAGCAAGAAGCTTCTCCAAAAGGCGACATTTGCGATTGGTGATACAGACTAAATTAGTGGCATCGTATTTATTATAAATATCTCACCATAAGCCGTATTATCGGAAATAGTTAAGAGCACGTAACTCAGTCAGCAAATCAGTGAGGCTTTTCAAGATAAGTCCAACAATCACGACGAGAAATGGCCCGCTAATTGTACATAGGTGGCTTTGTTTACTTGTTTACTTAGGCCGCTACGTGTACTTAAAACTGAGTTTAAATGTTAGGCCGCTGTTGTGTCATACTCATATCCCACATTACCCTCAGTTACAGTAGATGCAGTGGCAGCATCTGCAGTCGCAGCAACCGTGTTTTCCGCATGGAGGAAGGCATCTAAAGAGTCTAAATATAGTTTTTTTCCATAAATAATTAGTTAAATTACGCAGCTTGAGCGGGAACAGAATGGTATTCTGTTTCTCCAAATGATGTATGAAGATGTTTATCATCTCCTAACTGTACCATGGTTGAACCATCATATCCTAACATAATACCTAATTTGTTGAACGTAGGTCAGGGGTGGCATAAACCTTATATACATTTGAAGGATGGATAGCTAGAGGTCAGCATAGCCCAAGTCCACAGTGCGATTCATATACCTTCCCGAGCTTAATGCAGCCGGGCATCTTCACGGCTTTTGACATAAAGCGCCCACCACAACAGCGCCGTTCAGTCAGGCCGGAGCACAACTGGCCGGAGCGCAGCAGGCCCTACCGCAACAGCTACTCTTAAAACTTAACCTAACCTAACCTGCGCCTCTGTTGCGGTAGGGCCTTTTGCGCTCCGGCGCTGTGAAGCAGTAGCTGTGTTGTGCACAGCGGATTAACTGTTAGCCGGAGTTACCCACAGCTCATTGATCTGAGGCTATGTGTAGATATTGCATGCTGATGGCTGGCGTTGGGCCCAGGGCCTGTTTACGAGTCAATTTTGTTACCCACGGCTGCGCTCCCCATTTAGGTGCAACTGTAAATCTCGCTCTACTTACCACATAAGTGAGTTCATGTTTTATTATTTTATTTTTAGTTTACTTGCCCTTTTCTACTAATTCTGTCTTTTTTGTGCTCGTAATCTAAAAAAGAATGAAATAGTCATTTCCATTTTCATCTACCAAATTTCTCGGCCTCATTTGCAGGAATGCTCTTAGTTGAACAAATTTGCATAATACAATAGTTAATAGCAGTAAATTGGATGTGTGCAACTTTAACATCAGTTCGATCAGCAGAATTTTTCATGCTGTTTCTTTTGTCAAGTATAGAGTATGACGTGCCTTCACACACTTATAGTCTATACCAAATATCTGCGTATAATAAATGAGAAGTGCACTGTCATGGTGTACTGTTACGTTCAGCAAGATTTCTGAAGAAAATGATGTCCTGGCGAGGACAGAAAAACAACGATAAGGCACGGAAAAGTCTTTAAAATTTTTATTTCGCAGAAATAAACTAGAAAGAAATAAAAACTATTTAAACTATTAAAGAATCTAAACTATTTCGAAGAAATAAACTAGCTGCACCCGTCCGCGGAGGAGGGCTGTCAAGCTGTGCCACCTCTTCTTTCACACGCATCATATCGTCCGCACATTAAGCCTAGATGAAATGTACGAGTAAATTCAGAATAGGAGTTAGAGTCGTGATGATAATATCATATCTAGCTCCTCCTTAAATTTGGCAAAACCGGCGTTTCTGTTCTGATCAAGTATTTTGTCAACATTTGTACCAGACAATCTGCAATAAATGTCAATTAGGTATGATTATATTAAAATTATAAATTATCAATGAGTCAAGATTTATCAGTCAGTGAGTTAAATTAATTATGAACTATTCGTTTCGCTTTTTTTTATTTATCATTTAGCAATCATATCGTTCAGGAGTATCCATTAAATCGTTCATAACTTATTAATTAAATCGTTTATCATTTATAAATTAAATCGTTTATCATTTATCAATTAAATCGTTTATTATTTATCAATTAAATTGTTTATTACCTAATAATCTGATTTATTTTTAAATTAATAAAAATAATTTTATTTTTATTAATTTATTTCTTATCGATTGAATCATTTAGCACTTTTTCATTGAATCATTCATCCCTTATCGATTGAATCATATATCACTATTTGATTGAGTCCATTGAATCCGTGAAGCTTCAATCAACCATAGAGTCAATTATCCATCAGCCTTTTTCCGCTAGATCAATTATCTTTTATCTGTTATTGGCTATCCATTGAATCAATTAAAAAAGTGAAAAGGGCAACTAAGTGAGAATAAGATCCATGAATGAACTAATTTTATATTAGAAGACAATGGCCAGTATGGAAGTTAGAGAAGTAAAACTCATGGCTGATCAAGAAGCAGTCTCTGATCAACAGCATAGAGTAAGGTAGCGACTTCAAGGCTTCTAAGGAGAAGAGCAAGTTGTCGTGGGTTCAAGTGAGAAGTCGTCTATGGTCTGTATGCTGGAGTCAAGTGTTGCCCGACTTCGGCTTCGCTGGAGGGAAAGCCTGAGAAAAAAACGTGAATGCACAGTAGCGACCTGCCTGGCCGCTCAAAAACTGAGGTAAATTTGAAATAATCAGACGTCGATAGATAATGAGAATTGGATCTGAATTTTTTCCATTTAGTTGCCAGTCAAAAGGTTTATGGATATAATGTTGCATTGAAACCTTTTCAGCAATTTTACTCTTCCTCAGGTTCATTAAGGATTTTCTCTTCCTAAACAATGCTTTATGTCCAATGAAAACAGGATATTGGCACGGGATACTGGTATAGTAGAAACGAAAGGCACTTTGACTTGGCCTTTATATGTGATGCCGAGTTTTGTCGTAAAGTGTGGTGGAAATTGAATGCTAAAAATGTTGACGCCGTTGAACTTTCGGAAGATGACAGTAAGCAAGACCTGCTGATAAAATTGTATACGGGGAGAGACAAAGTTTTGTCCTTAAGTGATCTTAAAGAGCATCCATTCCTTCTGTACTTCTTAAATCTACCAGTACAGTAGTTCGATAATTGTGCGGAAATAATTGGTCAATTAATTACAGACAATGAATAAAGCAAACAAAATGAAATTTGGACATGAATTTAATTTTACGAAATTAATGGAGTTACGGCACAGAAACATGTAAAAGACATGACTGAAATTTTTTATGAAAGAACAGTGGCATGTGATTCATGTGAATGATTCTGCGTTACAGTATATTACAACCTGCTTACGACATGATAGTTAATAATAAGACATGGTGGTTATTCATTCTCAAGCGAATTTTACTTTACACAGCCTTAAAACGTCTACTACAATAGGAATTAAATCAAAAAACAAAAGGATTCTACTTTTGCAAGCGGAACGGATTAAATAATTAGGACGAAATTACATCGACGACCAAGACGGCGTGCCATGAAACTATCGCGTATCGTCGGTATAGAGAGCTGAGTCTATTAAACTATGTAGATTTTCAGTCACCCGCCAAGTAACTAAAGTGCAATTAAATTCACGAATAAACATTGGCTTAAAATTAACAAGGCACCTGTAGTGGACGGTGACCAAAGTTGCATTCGTTAGAGTGTTAGACGATTGATATTTCAATTCATCATCACTAATTTCTTTGAATGTTCAAAAACTAGTTACACAAATTTTGAGTAGTATATAAGTTTTGTGTATAGCTCGATCAGTGTTTAGATCACACAGTCAGAGTCATATGCGATACCAAACTAATATTAAACAAAACATGTTCATGAACGGAATTACATCCGAGATAATAACTAATAAACCAACATGCCAGCCAAGCGAACTGATGTGTCCTCGCGCACTCCCGAGGCCAAACATAACAAACATGATTGTCGCTGCTTTGCCATCTTCGAAGAAGCTCTCTTTTCAGCCCATGTAAAATATTCTTAAGAGCCCTTAATAATTTCATTTTCATTTATTGAAATATATTCTTGTTCATTGTTAAAAAACGGTAAATTCGATATAATGTAACGTATGTATAATTTTAAATAAACGGTCATTATAAACTCAGCTATGATCATAATAAGACAAAACCAGTCACCAGTCTTGCCTGCGCTTGAAGTAGAAATACTCGCTGAACGTATAAATACAGGTTGAAAGTAAAAATACTGGCCAAAATTAGGAACATTCGCTGAAAGAGCAAACACTATAGAAAATTTACATTCAATATGAAGCAAGGTTAATGTAAGTAAATCAAAATAAAATTACATTCTTATATGATATTCACACGAATTTACGTGATTTAAAATAGGCATACAAGGCGTTCCTTGTAAATCACAGTTCGCTGAAATTTAAATATAAACAATCAAGATTCATCACACATGCAGTAAATCTTTATATTTCACAAAATATCAAAATTCCCTAATGTTTGTACTCGATTACCACTTCAAGAAAAATTTTTTTCGACATTAATAATAAAAGTTTAGAAGAATATCAACACCGCACTGACACTTGAACGCAGTGGCAACGATCAGCAATAATCAAGACCAGTTGCTGCAGTTTTGTCAGGATAGAGAATTAATAGTAAAACACTGCATTTGATTTGCTAAACTCTGCATCTCAAACCAATCATAACATTCGTACAAGCCTGCCCCAACGGTTGCGCCAGCATCGCCCCAAGACAAGCATGTCCAAGCTACTGCAACATTCGCACATTTCTGCGAGATAACGTGCGACGCCACCGCCATGTTCGGCCAATTCGTCCGCGAATTGCGAGCGTGCGACTTGAATTCGTCATTGCCGGCCTAGTTCGACCTGTTTGCAAAGGTGCCGGAGCCGAACGGACTTGGTCACGGCGAGAATTTTGAGCTGGGTAAACAGGTCTCAGTAGCGCCCTGGTGCGTTCCTCGCACTGATCTTGAGTCCATGGGTAGGGACATTGACACTTCTGCGCTGTATTAAATTTGAAGCATTTGAAGGATTCAAAGTTTGAGATTGTCCCAGAATTTCTAGCGTTGTGTCCTGAATGAAGACTATTTACATCAGAATGATTATTTGAAGACACTTTACACTCCGAGTACAGCCATTTCGCGTCAGCAGCGTCTACCTCGATCGCGATCTGCAGCTCGTGAGGACCTCCGCGTTCATTGTTCTCGCAATACGAAACGTGGCGAAAACCAGAATCTGATTTTGTCATAGGCGTATCATTTGAATTCAGTCTGACTTTCTTCAACTTTCCGTCATAATTGTTTTTAGTTACTAGGACTCGAGTGAAACTTCTGTCGTTATAGACTGCCTGGTCGAGAAGGTAAAGATTTGGCCCCAGTTTCTCTAGCACGGTCTCCCACTTGATGGTGAAACTGACGTTACCGTAGAAATTGTGCTCCGAGCTGGACTGCGATGGTGCGAACCACAGAACCTGTAATTGAAAAAAACATTAATAATTTTTACCAGCAAGAAAGCATTCGTTTGAATGGATCAACCTCTCACTAATTGAACAATAATGATCTATTTATACGCGAGCAAAGATATCCATTAATTTACTGTTATGCACATAGTAACCAAGGTACGGCCTGACCGAGCTATCGTGAACACAATGCCTGATGAATCCTTGCGAAGCGAATTGAGCTATTCAAACACCAGGCAATTTCCAAGACAGAGCGGAGTCATTCTGCACTGTCCTTCCTCTAATACGCACGTTAGGCGGATCCTGACCGCTAGTTTGTTAATATTGATATCTAAACGTATTGATATCTAAATACGTGTTGTACAGTATATTTGTACCAAATAACTCATTCCTAAAAAAATTTAGAGGTATTAGTATTTACATTTATATATTTATTTGAAGCCTGAAAAAAAACTTTAATGTTCATTAAGATGTGCAACTTGCCACTCCGCATCGGCTAGAGTCAGATGTTGTAGTTTATTCGGCAAGAATGCGTTGGAATGGTAAACGATGCAGTGAGATACCCGCAAGTAATGTTTGGCGCCCATAAGTTGTCCTACAGACTGCAAGATTTTATCACATCAAGCATTTGATTCTTTATAAGATTGGCAAGCACGGCACCGAAATTTTGTCAGATCATCACGCCTCAAATCGCACCTGTCGTTGGAGATGCCTGTGGCTGTTGATGAGTGACTGCGGCGCAAGGTATTTCTTGCGAACGGCATTTTCGAAGTCATCGAAATGAACGCATCGGCTAATTTCATCAAGCTCTTCATAGGTGGGATCTTTTATGGGTTTCACCGATACAAAATGCAGCATTTTATCCCTCTTCATTCAGGCAGTTTACAAAATGTGACCCTAAAGAGTTTCGTACGCTTGCACCTGCCGTTGGAGATAAATTTTACTCATCCACAATCATCCAAATATTATTAATTAAATAATTACTTAATTCTATGATTCAGTGGATGTGCAGAAACGACACTAATGTAGCTACACCGTTATGCTTCTCGACATACAACGGTCAGTAGTTCCAGGTCCTAAAGATACTGTAAACTACTTGGTGGAATACCTCATGAGGTAACGAGTTTATAAATTTAAAATTTATAATAATAAAGGTACAATAATTTAATGTTTTTTAGAGTAGAATGAAATCCTTATTGCAGATTTTTTACCATAATGCGCGATATTATTAATATATTAATAACACACTCAAGGAAAACTAAACACAACATTACAATGCCTGCTGCTGTCTACAATCAGTTCGTCTCTTCAACAAACTGTGGAATTATATGCCACGATCTAAATTCTCCCAAAGCAGTTTTTAGCAAGTTTTTCTATATTCTGGGGAATTAAAAGCATGTACATGACAGATAATTTCTTCTCACGGATGATGTTTCGATGAAACAATTTATAATAGAAATGTCGTGTCGAAATTTGATTATTGTATTCAAATTAGCTTAGGAGATTTAATGATCAAGTTCTTGTCAGAAACGGAAACGACTTAAAAGCAGATACTTCCTAAATTTGCTATATCGTATTTATGTTAGTAAGTTGTATCTGTATCAATGAAAGCTGATAATTCTCTTTCGAGCCAAAATGTATAAAACTTTTGATTAGATTGTTTATAAATAATTTGACTTTGCAGCAGAAAATGAGCAATTGAAGCTATTTTTCAAAACGATTGTCTTTAGTACCATTAAAAAAAATAATTTTCAAATGATTGCCACATCTGGGTACCCCACTATATGGGACCTGAAGTTGAAGATGCTGCGTTGCACAATTGGAAAATACTATTGTCTTGATTGTCGTTCCTTGACCTCTTAATTTTTAGTGATTTTAGATTATTTCTTGATATGCCTGGATTGAACTATAAAATAAATTTCGTGGACCTGACTACAAAATTCCTAACTTACCACGTCATCATGTGATTATTGCAGAATGATAATATTTACAACATTCTATGGAGATTTAATAGCTCATTTCGTTATGGACGTATGCGAAGTAACCTAATTGAAGTATACAAGTATACTCATGGTTTATAAAAGATCCTAGAAGGATTACTAGAATTTGAAACAAGAACCAACACCAGGGGCCACGGGCCAACTGCCATAAGCTAAAAAACTGCGTTGCAACTCATCCATGCAACAACACTTCTTCTCGCTTCGAGTCACCGACAAGTGGAACAAACTTCCTGCTTGCATCGTTGGCGCTCCTAGTATATATGAGCTCAAAAACAGAAAACATTAAGCTATCCAGGAGTATAGGTTTCGACTACAAGTGACTCCCACCTCACAAATTGATGGATGTTCAGCAGCTTCTTAGCTTCAACGTCAGTTTTAGATAGATATTATCAAAAGGCCAGTTCTCAGATCTCCAAGAAACAATTTAAGAGCATTATAATAATCGGCGACAGGCCAACCCAGCCTATTCTTCATAGCCCTTTTACTATGTTATGTTTGATATTAAGATCCAACACCCTTTCCGCCAAAACTGAGTCTTCGTCTGACACGTTCAGCTCCAGATTTACTGCTACTATTACTTCCAATTTGTTAGCAATATTTTGCGCTGGCAACCAAGGGATGGAAGAACCAAACAAAAGAAAGATTCTAGCGGCATGGACCTCGCGCTCAGATCAGGTCTAACGATCTCAAACGAAGAATAGCGAATTTCAACGATGGTCTTTAGCTTACAGTTCTGTTACGCTAAATTTGAACCATTGCATACCAATGGCTTAAATAACGCCAAGCTCGTTCCAAACTGAGAAATTTAACAAACAGACATATGAAGCATTGATCCATTTTTAAAATTTTAAATGAAACTTAATTCTAGTTCTAATTGCGACTGCACAACTTTTATTGTGAACTTTCTCAGCCAAGACACTCTAGCACACTGATAAGATGAAGCCATTGCAGGTGCGATGACGCTATGAACATATCAGTGCCACGGTTCTCAAGGCACATTCCTCACTGCTCACTTGTTATTATACAGCATATTGCTCACTTATTTTTTTTTTATGCAGCGCGCGCGCGCGAGTAACTATACAGCGTACTGCGCTCTATGTATTGATGGATTTGTTCTAGAATATAAAGCGTTACACGACACATTTACAAGTAAAACTATACTTATCCTCACGACATGAAATTCTTCTAACTTCTGTAATTTTCAAGTTTTGCACATTTGTCCGGTGTCAATCTGGCGTTTTATTATAATCATTATAATTATATTATATGATTAGGTCATATGTAACTGGGACGTTATAGTCACTTGAACTGATTGAGATTAATGGAAAAGTACTAGACATGAGTAAGTGTCTGGAAGACATCACGTGATAGATCACGCGATCAAGACCTTAGTTGAGGGCGGAAGTTGAAGGCTTTATATGGGCTGATAACCTTAATAGTATGAGCCCCCGTAGTAGCTGTTAAGCGCTCCGCGATGTAACGCGTCGGTTGAGTTCTCCGACCTTATACTGTCGACGCCGTAGCTTATACCTCTGTATCGAAACTCATGTATTTGTAACCACCCCTTATATAAAGATATGTTATCTAGACAGCTGTGTCTTACTTATCCTTCGTGACCTTTGTCACGTATCCCGATCCTCAGGTAGAGCTTAATAAATGAGCTCTGACACATTAGTTTATTAAATTTTGCGTACATAAGACTAATGAGTCTAAAATTGCATATCAAGCATAAAGTGACATTTTATTCTATATTGCCTGTTTTCTCGTCCTGTTACCAGTATAATATAATTTTGCGTGCAATTTTGGGTGCGAGTTGTGGAGAATCATTGTGAAGACTACCAATTGTTTCTTGTTTATTCCCGTATTCCATCGGTTGCTGTCTTTATATAACCCCAACGATAATGACCTCCACACAAATGAAACATATAACGGTTAATGCATTTCAAACTATTTAAGGTTAGGCAAACATTAAAAAAATAATCTTATTTCCAGTAACACGGCTCCATCAGGACTTTCCGACAACTCCGCGAGATATGAGCATGGAAAAAAATGTGTGTCATTGGAATGCATTTAGCATTGAAACTCAGAATGCTATTGGTAGTTTTTTATCAATATTTTGTGCGCTGTTGCGGCAAAAATTTCTAACTAGGAAATAGTCTCGTTTACGATTAGGGATTTTTTCTGATGGGCTACAGTCATCTGTAGTTGTCGCATGTTTGAAAATGTAAGCTCGAAGTTTCAGACGTAGATTTCAATCCAAGGCAGTTTAAAATAGCTTTCATTTTTGAACGGAAACAGACACAAAAATACAAGTCAAAATTCCACAATCCGATTCGAATTAATAAAACAAATTCTACTTACATTCCTTACTTCTCATTTTTTAATCACCTCTCAATTTTATTCTCATTCATTTTTTGTTCTTTTCACATTTTATTTTCTTCCTCATTTTCTATTTTCCTCTTGTTTTTTATTCTCTTCCTATTTTTTAGTCTCTTTTCATTTCTTAATTCCTTTCAAGTTTTATTCTCCTCTCATTTTCTATTCTCATCTCATTTTTTAATCTCCTCTCATTTTTTAGCCTCCTGTCATTTGTTATTGTCCTCTCATTTTTTATTCTCCTCTTATTTTTTATTCTCCTAATATTTTTTATTTTGCACTCATTTTAAATTTTTTTCTGATTTTATTCTTCTCTCATTTTTTATTCTCCTCTCATTTTATATTATCTTCTCATTTTCTAGCCTCCTGCTATTTTTTATGGTCCTCTCATTTTTTAGTCTTATCTCATTTTTTATTCCCCGTTAATATTTTATTCTCGTCTTAATTTTATCTTGTCTCATTTTTTACTCTCCGTTGACATAACTCTTAACTAGACAGTCTAGCTAGATATAAATGAAACTACATTGTCTGCCCTACAATAGAATTTGCTCGCAATGGAATTTACCGTAGTCATCGTTACAGACGTCAACAGTCACCTCGTCCGATGCGCACAGTGCGCCTGGACAAGTCGAGTGACGGTGCGTACAAGAGATGCACTGCAAACTGCCATTCCATTTAAAATTTAACAAAATTTTTGAATGTAAATTGAAGTTGGAGCTCCAAAAGCACCAGGGTATATATAATCAATCAATCAAAAATTAAAAATTTTTGAAGGATCCATCAATTTTTCGAAACCTTGGAATAAATAAACTCAAATAAATAATCTTGTTGAACTATTTAAATTTTCTAATTCTGCAATGATAATATGTGTAATGGTGAATATAATTAAGGCTAAAACAATTTGTTTAGTTTTTCTGTAAAATTTACAGAAAATTTTCTAAGTACAGGAATGAACTTCTCACGAGCACTTAATAAAAATATGTGAGTGATAAATAAACTCAACGTGCCAGGTCACAAGGTGTGAATTTGTACAGAATTGGAAGCAAATGTGCTGATATTTTTTACTTGTCTTCTACTCGTCAGGATATTTTTTGGCTTATAGTGATATTAAATTAACACAAATTTAATACAAAAAATGGCGTCCGTAGAGAATTGAAAGCGCAGAGAAGAATGATTAACAATAGATGTGCGTTTATTAGATAACTAAAATTGCAATGAGTTCACGAAAAAGGTGTAATTGTTTATTAAATTTCATAGGGAGGCATTATAAGATAAAAATTACCTTAGCACTAGGAAAGACATGAACGTAAAATCTTTCAATAGAGCAAGTTTGATAGAGTCTTCACTTAATTCATTTTTTGCATATATATCGTAATATCTACTCCTTTTCGAATTATTTATGCCCATTGTTGATGAATTTCATTCATAAAATCAAGCCTCTTATAACAATTTGTAAACTTTTTCAACTTTTTTTAATATATAAGGCTAACAATCATACTAAGTTCTTTTAGTTAGATTTGACCTATATGAGATCTTCACCGGAACTTGTAAAGATGTTGTTCGACACAAATTATCAAACTGTAGAACATCTTAAACGTCCAAGATATGAATATTTTTACAAAATTACCCGAAGTATTCATTTCGACGGCTTCGAAGAAGTCACTCGCAAGGAAATGCTGGTTGCGTATCCGCCCTCCGACCGACACACGAGGCTTCGACAAAAGGTGCGTCATTGAAAGGCTTCACTTTGAAAATCTTTTCTAATATTCAGCATTCATGTAACATCTAATTGTACTTTGGAAATAACTTGTAGGTAAAGTTCCTTGAAATTATTTATATAGTTATTTACGGGCATTTCTTGACTTGTGGAATGAATATATATCTTCCCTATACTCTATTAATTATCAAAAAGATTTAGTAAACTTTACTAAAAAAAATTGTTGACTTCAAACTTCATGATATAAAATTAGATTCATCTTCCATTCTTTTGACATGATATCAGAATGAAATTATTCTTTGTATGAAATCGTATCATTTTACACACACTGTCTGCATACTGTAACTTATCCGCCTGCCATGCTCAACACGACGAATTTGACCAGATGGTTGGTGTAATACAAATTTTCAGATTGTCTTTATTTGAATTGCACATATAATCTTCGATTTTTCGTTGCGCATTATCGTTTACTCAGGTGCTGTGGTTCGCTCCATCGCAGCCGAGCTCTAAGCACAATTCGCACGGCAACGTAAGCTTCACAATCAAGTGGCAGACCGTGCTAAAGAAACTCGGTCCGAACCTCTACCTATTCGGGCAGACCATGCACAAAGACAGAAGTTTCACTCGAGTACTGTTAACTAAAATCAATTATGACGGACTCTTAACGAAGTTGGACTTATATTCAGGTGGCTCACCCATGATAAAACTCAGGTCTGGTTACTGCCACGCTTCGCACTGCATGAACAAAGGTCAATGGGGTTTTCACCAGTTGCATATCGCCATCGAAGTTACAGATGCTGACGCGAGGTGGCTTTACCTGAACTGTAAGAAGGGTGCAAACAATCATTCAAAAGCGAATACCTGTAGTCGCGACGAGCGCAATAGAAGAGACGGACAATCAACGAGATACCATTTGAATAAATGCTATAAGTTTAATACTTACAAAAACTGCAAATGTCCCTACCAGTGGACCAAGGCAAAGTGTGAGGGTATCATCAACATTGTATCAAAGACAGATGTTGCAAAGTCTCCCCGTTTCGTTAGGAGAGTAGTGTCTAATTCAAGACGCAAAAGCCAAGTTTGCAAACCTTCTGTTTCGGCTTATGCAGCGGAAAGTACACCTTGTTCAAAAGAAGAAATTTTAGAGACAGACTCGGACTCAGACTGGGATCTATTTCAAACTACAGAAATTACATCATCGGTCATACAGGCAGCCGCGATTCCATCACAAACTAAAATAACATCATCGGGTTCAGCCTCGGATCAATTGCAGTCTGCCCTTACATCACCCATCATAGAGGCTGACCCAATCTCTTCCTCGGTTCCATTGCAAACTACAATTAAATCACCAGTCTTAGAGGCTGACCGTGTTTCAGCCTCGGATCTATTGCCGACTCCAATTACATCATCGGTCATACCTGCAGAATCGTGCTCATCCACAGATCTTTTACAAACTACGAGTACAATTACATCACTGGTCTTAGCGGCAGACTCGGGCGTATCCTCGGATCTTTTGCCAACTACAATTACACCACCGGTCTTAGCGGCCGAATCAGGCTCACCCTCGGATCTTTTGCAGACTACAATTACAAGCCCGGTCTTAGCGACAGACTCGGGCTCACCATCGGATCTTTTGCAGACTACAATTACATGCCCGGTCTTAGCTGCTGACTCGGGCTCAGCCTCGGATTTATTGCCGACTACAATTACATCATTGTTGCGAAAAGCACAGCAACATAGTCAGCGAGTGTTCGAGGACTGGAACTTCAATGTATTCCACTCGAACACTTTAGAAACCTCTGTTCCCAAAGCTTCATGGACAGCTATGTATTGCCGGGAAATACTTCTAGTTCTGTCATTGCTAGTAGCCTTGATTTGCGTTATCTTAAATTAGAGCTCGTTATCAAGTTTTAAGAGATTATGAAGGTCCTAATAATTGAATAGTGAGCGATTTTTCGGCAAAAAAATGGGGCTTATGGAAGCAACCGTATTCTATGATATACGAATATTATCGGTTACAAAAATCTAGACTAATTCTTGCTCCCTGTTTTCAATTACATCGCATTCTTTGGCTTTCGTATAGCATTGGTCAAGCTAACGCCATCAAGCGCCTCCTCATGCTATCACTTTGCAATAGTTGGAGTTTTTGGTGTTTGAAACTCTTACCAACTGCATTGACAGAAACATTATTAGCTTAAATACTCCGTGACGCATTCTTTGTGGAACAAATTAATGCTTATAAGAGCAGGCAGTTTGACCTCTGAAGAAATCGATCTAAAATTGCTCAATAATTTTAGATACAAGAGCCCAAAATGTATTAAATACGAGTAAGGCTCGTATGAGACTGAAAGTAAATTGTGACCCCTAAAATGTTTTAAAATATTATTTTCTCCATAAAGTTTCTATGTTTGCAAGCGTTCGATGAATTACTGGAGAACGTAATGTGTTGCTGAGTTTTTCGCTCAAAAATATTAAATTTCAAGTATATACGTATCTAGTGTCTCTAAATGTCCAGCACGAGTGCGCCAGCGCAGATAATTTTTATCCAGCCTAATAAATCCATACAGAATTACTGTAAATTTCATGAATTCATTTTCTTGATTTTCTAAAGCTCATTTTTATAATAATCAAAGTACCAGAATCAACGAATGTATCTTTGCTTCTGTAAAGGAAACCAAATCCAAATCCTTAATCCATGAATGAATTACGGTATATATTGACCACTACAATATAATGACTTCCCTTTTCCCCATATGACATCTCAATGGCGGTATATTTATTTGAGCTCATTCATGTTTTTAACCGAATGTCTTGAATGATATTTTGCCTCAGAATATATAAAAATAATGAGAAATATCGCCGAGATGAAGGTTGGAAAAATCTTGGAAGATCTAGAACATCTTCACGACGTTGATAAGCATTTGAATATTCATTGATAAACTTCAGTAATATATTTTCATTAATTTAACTCATGGATAATGAATGAATAAAAAGTGAAGAGGTATACGAATCGTTCTTGACTCGTCTCTGATCGAAAGTTTGTCAACTTCTTTTTGCGTAAAAAAACTCGGGCTTCCATGAAAAACCCGTGGAGTGTAAGGTGAGTTTTAAATAAAATTTAAGAATACATCAGATTGATTCCAAGTTTTTTAAGTTCAAAAACAATAATACTGGATAGAAGCTTCTAAGGAAACGTCTATTATGCTTTCTTGAACAAAACAGTTATCTCGTAAATACACTGCAAGCCTCTATAAAAAGCCAACATTTAGTTGAGTCTTAGAAAATCGGCCACGCACTATAAAGTTTTTAAGGGGACCGACTACCCTAAAATTTTCAATTTTGGCGTTTTCCGGTTTTTGTGCTCATCTGAAAGCTGGAATTCTGCTCTTTCCAATGGTACCACTGCCATCGCTGTACGCCAATATTTACGTTCATGACGTCTCTTTAAGGGGAGCGTCTTGGTCCAAAATCGACAATTTAGGCTTTTCCTGTTTTTAGTCTCATCTTAAAGCTGACATTCTGACCTATCCAACAGTACCAAAACCATTTCTGTACGTTGATTTATGCGTTCACGACAGATCCCGAAAGGGAGGGGGGTGGGGGAGTTCTTTCACATTTAAGATGGGGAATAATTCCCGCAGTGCACTATAAATCACTTGTCTACAGACACTCAGCTCCAGTAACCTTACTGCAGTCGTACGGGGTCGTTACTGCACCGTCGCTCGTACCACCCTTGACAGAAATTGAGCTCCAGTATCGTCTAGTCTCATTCCTTGCAGTGTTGAATGCCGATTTCGAGGCGCCCGGAACTCTGTCGAGCTCTACTGAACATTCACACTTATTGTCACTGGAAACCTATTTACTCCTACAGTTTCGATGCTACAGCAATGAGACATATACCATTCGATTCGCAAAGAAAAGATCTACAAATTGTTGTAAGCGTTTTTCTAATTTCGTTATAGTTTGTATTTTATTTTGCAAAAAGGGAGGGTGGAATGGGTAAAATAAAAAAATTTCCGAAAAATTTACGAAAAATGCTCCCACACCAACAAAAATGGAAATTTCAAAAGAACGCCTACATCAATTTGTAGATGTGGTCTTTCCGCATCGAATGATACGTGTCTTTATGTTGTAGCTTGAAAATCCTAGGCCCGCTGATATTTCTACAGTACCCCCTTTTTTGTCCGTTTTCTAAGAATTTCTCGTTTTCTTTCATTTTTGCGAAAAATTCACATGAACAAAAAAGTCTTAGAATTCCGTTTTGCATACGTGTATTAAATTTCGAAGTGATCCGTCCGTAAATAAAAAAGTTGTTTCGGATCAAGACGCTCCCCTTAAAGGGAAGCGGGTGGGAGAGTTCTTTAACTAATTAGATATAAAGTAATTAGCTGCTGAAATCTTTGAATATAGTTTCTACTTGAGTTGTGCTGCAGTTACATGCTTAGTCTCATCTTAAAGCTGACATTGTGAGCTTTCCAATGATACTACTGCGATCCATGTACGGCAATATTGATTGGAGTTCCTTCAGTAAATAGACCTAAGAAAATTACAGCGGCAAGACTACATATATTGGTGTATCTGGCATCTGAGCTCAGTTACCCTCCTAACTTTGTACGGAGGGGTGCGCTACAAGTTGCTGCTAGCATCCTTGAGTGGATTAAGCTACAAAAGCCTGTAGTTTGGTATCCATGCTACATTGAGTGCCTATTTCGAGGCGCACGGGACTTTGTCGCGCCGTCCTGAAAAGTTCAACTTATTGTCACGGAAAACCTATCTCCCCCTACAGTTTTCAAGCTACAGCAATGAGACATATACCATTCGATTCGTAAAGACCATACCTATCGAACTGAGGAGCACTTTTTTGAATTTCAGTCTGGTTCGTTTTTTATATGGGGGAGAAAGGGTGGAAAATGAGAAAAATGGGAAAAACGCGCATAAAAAACTAAGGGTAAAATAAGAAAAGCGCTCTTCAAATCGAAGGGATGGTCTTTACAAACCGAATGATACGTGTCTCGATGTTGTAGGATGATATTTGTAGGAGGAGATAGATTTTCTAAAGTACCCCTTTTTAGCCGTTTTCTATGAATTTCTCGTTTTCTATCAATTTCTTCGAAAAATTCATGGAAGCAAAATGTTATTTTTTTACATTTTACGTATGTATTTGAAGTTTCATGATGATCGGATAATAACTGTAGAAGTTTTTCTGGAGGGTAGTCGGTCCCCTTAAATAATACTAGGTCCCCTAACTTGCTCTACACTCTACAGTCATTTAGGTCCCCCAACTTGCTCTACAGTCATGATATATCAAAAAGTGACCACCAAATATTTCCTTCATATCAAAGCCCATTTTGTGATTTGTCTAAACACTTTTGCCTAAATTCTTTGCAATTTTTGTCACATAATGGCTAGAGAAATAGAGTTCACAGAGGTTTTTTGTAATTATTGTACTCGTATGTTAGCCCTACCTAAACTATTGGCTATAAACTTCAACATTCGTGTTATTTCAATTTAAATAGTGTACTTTCTCAATATTAAATAGAAAAACACCCACATTAGTCCTAAAAACAATTATTTTCTCAATGATATTTACAAACACCATGCCTTCTGAGAGTATAACTTCATATGTGATGTTATTTTTTTATGTTAACCAGCTCAAAAGTCCATAAAACAAGTTGTAAATAAATTAGATATTATCTTTAAAGCCTACAGTCAGGTGCGTGAAATGAGGGAAGCTAAATCAATGGACTTTTGTCGGTTTTGTCATATACTGTATTTCTTACAGGGTGACCCCAAAAAAGTTGCTAAAAGTAAAGGCTTATAATTCAAAAAGTATTAAACGTAGAAAGATGAAATAAAAACCACATGAAAGAATATAACTTCAAGTTTTATTCGGATTACAATATATGTTCAAAATTACCTCCTCGCTGTTGAATACACAGCTCAATTCCTTTTTTCAAAATTTGCGGTTACTGCAGATAAGGTATCCTGGTCAATAAGTGCGAGAGCTTCACGAATTGCTATCTTCAGATTGTTAATGCTGTTGTAGGGTGTAATTTTTAACATTTGTATATTGTATTATTGTGAGTTCGCCTGTCTCACGCTAGCCTTGTATTATTTAAGTATTTCCTCGTTAATTCTTTGTCATGTTTTCTCATGTTTAATTTAGCGGATTTCTCGCTGTGACAATGTGTCGTCAGTCAGTGGCGGGTTCATCCGGGAGTCTTTTAGCAGTGTTAAGGCCCGTTTACACTAGGGGCAACACACGAGAGTCAAGTGCCTCAAAGCGCATGCAGAGGCGCTTAGCAGCCTCTGCATGCGCTTCTTGACCGATTGACGAGCTAGCGATTGACAGGGGCCATGCCTCATGCAACACAAGCGCGGCGCTTAGTAGATAGCTATTAAAGAATTGATATCACTTGTATGCTTAAATCGCAAATTAAGTAAGAATTTAAATTGAATTAAAAATTTAAATCAAATTGAAAATCTAAATTAATCAATTAAAGAAATTCAATTCGTTCTATGGTTTCAATGGTATGAATTTATGATTCTAGATTCTACGAACTGACTATGGAGCTGGTCTCCGAAACGTTTTCTATAAAGATATGAATTTTTGTGGACTATTCTTTTCTTTTAAATTCTTAGTTAGTAGATAGATGTCTGTGGTCTAGTAAGGTTGATTGTGTACGCTGGTCCGGCACTCCAAATGTCGACTAAGCACCACTCTCGTTTGGAGTCACTCTCTAGTAGAGAGCCTAATTGATCTTTATAGAGAACATGAATGTCTATGGAGTGTTCGGTCAAAGGAGTCCAAAAATCGAAATACAAATGATGTAAGTTATTTTTACATGACGTGCTTAGTTTATGTGATTTTAGCAACTCCTGACAATTTATGCATTACCGTTTAGCGATTTCAAAGGATGATGTAATATCGGTACGAATATTGGAGCTTTTTATTTAGGAATAGACTATATTTTTTATAAACTGTATGTTTTTGAATGTGCTGCTTCTCTAATTATGATGCCTATGCTGAGTTCTCGTTTACAAATGGCATAATGCGCAAAATGACGGACCGCAACACACCAGAGAACAATGGCCCACAGCTCAAATTCGGTGACATCCATCCTCATTGACGTCTATAGGTGGCAACTAGTGTTCAAAGCGCGCGGTCTCAAACAACCGAGTACAAAAGTAGTGTAAACGGTTGTGCGCGGTGAGGCACTGCAGCAAACGACTCAAAGCGCATGTCGTTGCCACTAGTGTAAACGGGCCTTTACACGTGTGCGGACCTTTTAACCCCGTTATGCTGGTCGTGCCGCCCGAACACTCTTTATCTGTGTAACTCTGTTTGTTCCATGTTCTCTGAATAAAGCCCGTTAACTGTTATTTGTGCCACGTTTCATTGAACCAACGAAACGAACGACCCGACAACAATGCTTCTTAGTCTTGTACTGAATACTTTTTCTTTCACGTAACTCCATAGGAAGAAATCCAAAGGCGATTCATTAATTCTTTCTTCAATCATGGCCTTGGTTTCTTCTGATCTTCTAGTTCTTCGCCGTCCAAAATGACCTTTGTTTTGATTCAGGATCGTTCCTTTATCTTTCCACTGACGTATCCACTTCTTGATTGTGTTGAGACTATCTTCTTGTCTGTATTTGGTGAAATAACCTCTCTTTATTTTGGTAGGCGAAGTTTCCAGGTAAAATTGTTCGACAATGAAAACTCGTTGCTCAGAATTTAGCTGCATTTCTAGGGGGAAACTTGATCTTAAAAAATAATGAGTTTTAACTACGAAATATGTAGAAAACTTTGGTAACATGGACACCAAATAAAACCTGAAGTTATACTCTTTCATGTGCTTTTTATTTCATTTTTCTACGTTTAATATACTTTTCGAGTTATAAGCCTTTACTTTTTGCAACTTTTTTGGGGTCACCCTGTATAACCACTTGATAGTTTGGCTCTCTAAATAGATTCATATCTTAAATTTTTCACAAAAGAGAATGGTAATTAAAAAGGAAGATCAAACCATCTAGGTGTGTATTGTTTTCAAAGACATAATACACTCAGAGAAATATTTTTGCTAGTGGGCTTTTTCTGTTTTGCTAAGAACATGTAGGTTTTTTTAATTTTGCACAATATAGGTTCCTAGTTAGCAGCCTCGATAGTAGAATAACAATACATAAGCTGTGGAATTACTGAGCATGCACCATAGTAGAAGCCTCAAGGCTTGCACAATTTCAAATGGCTCAGTCCGATTTCTCAAAAGTTATGGTGATAAAACTGAAAATTGTTTTTTTTTCGAGACTTGAAAAAATAAGAGTTTAGCGAAACAAGAAAACTGCAGAACTGGGTTAATTGATTCAATACATATTTTTACACTAATTTTTATTCTGACACAGTTGGGTCACTGTTGTGACACAACACTGTTTGATTAGTGATACAACAAGTTCATTATGCATCACTGGCTCACTTATAAAAGTGTACAATTATTTGATTGGCATAAAATTTGTAGTAATCGACATAACTGAAATGGACTTTGAGCTAGGTATAAATGAAATAAATAAATAAAAAACATTTTACCCATTTTGCCCGGGCTATTAAAAAAAAACCCTGGATTTTTTAAGAAAACCCGGGTGGGTTGGGTAATTTAAAAATATGTTTTTTTCTTTACAACCCTGATCACTGCAGGGTAGAGTTAATCGTTGCTACTAAGTACATGCAGCTGTATATTCAAATTGATAGGAAACACGTACAATATGCTCGCTCTCCACGCTATAGTCAGTTTGATATCAGGCTCACGTAATAGATTTGTCAAGGTATAACTGAGCATTCCCAACGAAATCTAAACGAGTCTCATCTGATGAAGTTTTCGATAGAATGGTCATGGAATAACTGAGCACTCATCAAGATATCTAAACGAGTCTCATCTGATAAAGTTTTTAGTCACGTTGTTTTCGCAAAAGAAAATGTTTACGTGACGTTGCACAGTAGAAGTACCTCGGCTCGTTTCGTTCATTGTCATTTCAATAAAGAACCAAATGGGCTTCACGGTTTAAAAACTAAAATGTTTTGTAAGTCACTAGAATAAAATTTGCTTATACATTAACGCTTAAACGTTCTCACGAACATGTTAATTAGCGGCCGGGTGTCAGGTGTTACGTCTAGAAATAAATGTCTTCTTGAATGGAAGTCTATCTCTTCAATAAGATATACATTCGATTTTCCATAATTTAAAACGTCGGTGAAAGGCATTATCAAGTAGCTTCAACTTGACGAATGAAAAACTAACGTTAAAATGTGTATCAGTTAAGCTTTCGTTTCGAACGCGTTCAAACTTCGTTTCATCCGTATTGATGTGGCGCCTGTACGTCGACGCATGTCCTGCTCGCAGTTATCAGCAGGCGTGGATCTCACTGTGCAAGAGTATCTTGGAAAGAGCAGTTGTAAGTGAGAGGTGTCTTGCATTCGATACTTTTGTCCAATCATTTATTACTTCTCCGACGGTTGGTACTGCAACGAGAACTCTCCTGTAAAGAACTGAGGTAAAAATGTTGTGTCATATTCAGCAAGTGGGACATGAAGTCATGAATTATCGGGCCATGAGCTCCTCATTAATGAAGCTAATTATGTTCTCTTCCATGTTTAGTCACGTTGCGGCTAACAAAAAAATGTATTCCCTTCTTTTTTATTTTCGAGGAGTCGGTTCTATAGGCCAGAACGCCAGATTAATCAGTAATTCTTAGTCAGATATCTCCACATACAGAAATTAATTCGAATTTTAGGTAATCAACAAGAACACGGCAACACGCGACTGTTTGTTGTCAACATTTCATTCAGACTTCAGTTTTTGTGCAGAAATTGTCAGAACTGTTCGTTCGTTTTATGATACAAGCTGAATGTTGAATTTGCTTATCATATTATTCAATGCAATAATTAAAGTATAAATCAGTTATATCAATATAATATGTAAGACTGATTGAATTAACGTTGCATACTAATATTATTGGAAATTTTTATATCACTGACATTACAATGATTGTGACAAAATTTAAGCTGGAACCAATTTAATAAAATTATTTTTTATGTACATAAATAACCAAACGCGAATTCAGCCTTTCAGGGACCTAAATAGGCCTAGCCTATGTTGTAGGTACTTTATTAATTAAGTAAAATTAAACGACAACTTGATATTTTCTTGATGAATTAAATAACAATAGAAGACCAGAATATTTTTCAGCCGCATTTTGTTTTCTAGACAGAAATTATTCATGTTCTATCTCGAAGATTTGCATTCTATCAATAATCACAATAATGCTAGCACGGAATTTTTCATCGCAAGGTAAACCCGGACTCGATTAGTGTTCGATTATATATCTCGATTAATTATTAGCACATCACAAAATAACATCGGGCATGAAGATTTAACTGCCTGTATTTATGAGCTTCGCGCACCTACATGAAGACTGATACTAATTTTCAACTGAAATCCCGACCCGAACATTGGAATCACTTGTATATGTGACAACATGAAAAGTTGAAATTAAAAGAAATAAGGCCGATCTTAATCTTAAATATACATGTAATATCAAAGTATGACTATGAGAAATATCATACAATAACTGGTCTGCAAATATATCATACTGGTCTAATAATATCATACTGGTCTGCAACAAAACGTGAGAGAAAGAGCAACTTAAAGCGTATTTTTTCTAATGTGTGACTACGTGCATATTATCGTTGAACGATAATAATAATGATAGATAAATTGCTCATATATGTACAGTGTATATGTTGGGATTTCCTGTAGATATTTAATAATCAGAGTATTTTTTAGGAATATGTTTATATTATCACCTGTGGAATTGAAATGAAAATTTCAAAAGTTTTCAATTTATTGCTACGCGTACGTTGCAGGATCGAAATGGCGTTCCGAACTGCGAAGCCTTTAAAGAATCCTGAATATGCGCAACTTGAGAAAATCAGCCGCTGCGTTCATTTCGACGACTTCGATGAGGCCATCAGCAAGAAAATGCTCGTGCCACAGCTTCTATCCAACAGCCGCACGAAACTTGAACAACAGGTAACTGGCAATAGTTGGTTGTAATTCTGTTTTAGGCATCAGTGATTTCGGCTCTTATAGAATGGGAATTGTGAGCATTACTTATCTGAATTCAGGATAAGTTGATTGGTAAATCGAGTCTGCCTGTGATCCGTTTCCATCCGCATACTTTTCACATAGGAAACAAAGAACAACTGGAAAGTGTTGGTGTTTCTCAACCACCACTAATTGAAACCGTGTTTTGCTTTCGAATAAAATGGCTTGCTGGAGCTGATAGTGGCTAATATTTTCATGCAGTTAAATTGCATTTACTTTTCTTGGTGCGCTTAATATATGTATACGAATGCCGATAAGATGCATCATATTGTGAATTTGTATAGTTTATTTATTGATGAATTTCAGGTGCTGTGGTTCGCACCATCGCAGGCCAGCACGGAACACAATTTCTACGGCAACGTCAGCTTCACCATCAAGTGGGAGACCGTGCTACAGAAGCTCGGGCCGAACCTCTACCTCATCGACCAGGCCATTTATAACGCCAGAAGTTTCACTAGAGTCGTATTCACTAGAAAGAATTATGACAGAATCTTGAAGAAAGTTGATTTTGATTCTGAAGATTCCCCCATGACAAAATCCTGGTCTGGTTTCCGCCACGCTTCGCATTGCATGAACAAAGTTAGCTGGGGTCCTCACGAGCTGCAGATTGCGATCGAAGTAATCGATGTCGAAGCTCGGTGGTTATACTTGAACTGCAAGCTAGTGGTTAATGACCATTCTAATGCGAATATTGCTAGCAAAGGACGACGTAGAAGATGGGACAAAAAAGTTGCTAATTTCGAATCTTACAATTGTTTCAAGTTTAATACAGCTCAAAACAGCGAATGTCCTTACAAGTGGACTGCCGATGAGTGTATGCGCCACATCAAGACCGTGTTGAAGACAGTGGTTCGAGTTCCATCATGCAGTGGGAGAAGAGTTGAACAAACCTTTGACTTGCCGAAAAATAATTCTGATCATAGCCCGATAGCTCCTGCTGTAGCTTCACCACTTACAGGTAAATCATTTTATGCAACACAAAAACTTTCATCTCATGCCGTAATTTCACAGCGTCCTCATCCACCTCGCACTAAATCCTCAGCAAATCAAGTTGAACGAACTGCACTCAAGGATGGCTGGCTGTCTTACATCTCGCCAGCAGCGACAACAAATCAGGAAATACCGACGGAAATGAAAACTGCATATCGACTTCCAACGAGTAACCGCATTAGAAGTGAACTACCTGAGAAATCTTTGCTCTTGAATTATGTTCGTGGCCTTGCAAATCCCGATGTACCTTCAAAATTTACATATCCATTGACTGCTGAGCCTGCAAAACGGACACTTTATCCTCGTACTGGAGTGGCTAGTACTGATAGTGCTGTGGCGCTTCCAACTCGTGCAGCAGTTTCATCGAGCACAGATCGTGCTGTTGCATTTCCAACTCGTGCTGCAGTTTCATCGAGCCCAGATCGTGCTGTTGCACTTCCAACTCGTGCTGCACTTTCATCGAGCACTGATCGTGCTGTTGCATTTTCAACTCGTGTTGCAGTTTCATCGAGCACCGGTCGTGCTGATGCACTTCCAACTCGTGTGGCAGTTTCATCGAGCACCGATCGTGCTGATGCACTTCTAACTCGTGCTGCAGTTTCATCGAGCCCAGATCGTGCTGTTACACTTCCAACTCGTGTTGCAGTTTCATCGAGCACAGATCGAGATATTGCATTTCCAACTCGTGCTGCAGTTTCATTAGGTACAGATCGTGCTGTTGCACTTCCAACTCGTGCTGCAGTTTCGTCGAGCACAAATCGTGCTGATGCACTTCCAACTCGTGCTGCAGTTTCATTAGTCACAGATCGTGCTGTTGCGCTTCCAACTCGTGCTGCAGTTTCGTCGAGCACAGATCGTGCTGTTGCACTTCCAACTCGTGCTGCAGTTTCATCGAGCACAGATCGTGCTGTTGCACTCACAACTCGTGCTGTAGTTTCATGGAGCACAGATCGTGCTGTTGCACTTCCAACTCGTGTTGCAGTTTCATCGAGCACTGATCGTGCTGATGCACTTCCAACTCGTGCTGCAGTTTCATTAAGCACAGATCGTGCTGTTGCACTTCCAACTCTTGCTACAGTTTCATCGAGCACAGATCGTGCTGTTACACTTCCAACTCGTGCTGCAGTTTCATTAGACACAGATCGTGCTGTGGCACTTCCAACTCGTGCTGAAGTTTCATTAGGCCCAGTTCGTGCTGCGGCGCTTCCAACTCGTGCTCCAGTTTCATCGAGCACAGACCGTGATGTTGCACTTCCAACTCGTGCTGCAGTTTCATCGAGCACAGATCGTGCTGTTGCACTTCCAACTCGTGTTGCAGTCTCATTGAGCACAGATCGTGCTGTTGCATTTTTTACTAGCGCGGCAGTTTCATCGAGCAAAGATCGTGCTGTTACACTTTCAACTCGTTCTGCAGTTTCATCGAGCACAGATCATGCTGTTGCACTTCCAAATCGTGCGGCAATTTCATTAAGCACACGCTCAGATCATGCTGTAAAATCAACGTGCTTACTTTCAGGTCGGTCTGCTACGGAAGAAAACACAGCGCCTCTTCAGACAGTAAATTTGGTAAAATTTCAGCCATTCTTCTGGCAGCGATAACAAATTAGGAAATGAAGGTGGTATTGAAGACCGCAGCTCCAGATCGCAGCTGCACTGTCATTAGACATGTCCCTTAATGTAGCTTGTAAGGTAAGGTGTCTCCCGCAGCGACGCGTGCCAACTCCCCCATGGAAAGTCTTCGTCGACATCACATTGTTGTAGGCTAGAATTAAATATTTCTGTATTGTGCAGTAGCCTGTCTCACGCTAGCCGCGTACATCAGATATTGATTTTGAATATTTATCTCCAGTTTTAAATTTCTGTTTGTTTTGTCATTATGTTTAGTTAGCGGAATTCCCGCTGACTGACGAGGTGTCTTCTGTCAGCGGCGGGTTGATTCGAGAGCTTGTTTTTAGAGAGAGTTACACGCGGGCGAAGCTCTGAAGCGTGTTACGTTGCTCTTGCCACGAGATGGTTTTGTTGAACGTGTAGCTGCCTAACTCCAATAAACTCTTTTAAACTGTGATCTGTGCTAAGTTTACCCTGAACCACCGGAACGAACGACCCGACCACAACATGTTAGTCCTGCATCATTTAAGCTTCAAAGTGAGTTAACGCAACTACTCCGTAACTGAGTGCTACTCAGCGTGACCCTGTTTGAGGTGTAGAGTGACCTACAACCCCTCAAAGGGAAAAAAATTATCGAAGTGATCATTTTGACCGACAAATGTTTTTCAGAGCGACAGCACGACGGTTTCCAGAGGTCGTTCTCCAGAGGTTTGAAATGACAACGTTATAAACTCTAGTAATCTCACTACTGATGAATTCGGTTCAATTGTGGCAGAAACGGGCATTTCGTGGCTATATTTTTAAAATTCGTAACCAGTTCCGTGTGCCTTCGTAGCAGCCTTCTAACCAAAGCATTAGTGCGTTGAACTATGAAAGTGAGACTTTTTCGTCGTGCTTCTGTCTCAACCATTTTTTGTGTGTATTACTGCACTGCAATAATATATGTACCTACCTGTTTTTTCGCTCCTTCCCTCCCCTCCTTCTGGGACCGAAGCATTTATTCAATCAGAAAGAGGGATTAAAGCATTCAATAAAATCAACCTCACAAATCAAAAAATGCCGTAACAATAATTTTGATAGTCTAGCTGAATGTGCTGATACTTGGCAACTGATTGTTAATGAAGGCAAGTGCAAGGTACTTCGACTCGGTAGGAATACTGAACAGTAAGCCTTCCCTTCATCAGGCAGGGACAGGGAGGCCTAGTGGTTACCGTTCAGGGTACCAAGATTGGAGCAGAGGCGCGGGTTCGATCCCAGCTCTGTGCGCCAGTTTCTGGTCAGAATCGGCAAGGAGGCCGGGCGGTTAAGCACAACAGAATAAGAGCAGTGAGTTGCGAGTTTGAGACCGCAAAATGCTGTGAAAGTTCTGCGATGTTAAGAATTGGAGACAGGCCTACGGCATAATAAACGCTGAAACCGCTATTATTATTTATAATTATTACCATTATAGATCATCAAATCTCCCCGGTGATCTATCATTAGCAACGCCAGTTTTACCTTCTTAAATAGTTTAATACAAACTCGTATATATTTGACGAAGTTTGTTTGTCCGTCAGTTAGTGTGTCTGAAGCCTGGCACTGCTGTTGGACTACAAGGGTGCTTTTCATATTGAGTGAATAATAATGCATTATCAAACTGTACGAAAGATATTTAAGTAAACACACTCATTTTGTTATTAAATTTAATTTAAAAAATGAAAAATTGTTTATGATATTTTGGGAGACAATGCGAAACGAGAGTCACCTGCAAAATCAATGCTCTATTTGGAATGTGGGTTAGAAGGCGTTTCTCGGAAGTGACTTATCATGTATTAGCATTATCATCATTTATGGTATTCGGAATAACTGGAATAAAAACTTGCAAGGATTAATTATCAATTTCCTGCTAACCTACTGGTATAATATATTTATATAGTCCGACCAAACATCATCAGAGAATAGTACAGTTTTGACAGAACCCGCTCATTAGTCATTACTAGCCCAGGTAATATTTCTACGGCTTGAAGTCGGCACTACCACAGGAATGATTTCTAGGCTAGACAGAACGACCGGTTTGGTTGTACAGAGGAGACTAGAACAACAGCTAGGGAGGAAACTCGTTTATTTTACTCGCATCTTGTGGTTGTATTTTTTGTCAATAGTATCTACTTGATGGAACTTCAAACGAGTTATTTCAATAGACCATGTACTGCACATTTAAATCGTGATAAGTAATTATTATGTATGAATAATTCACATACATGTTTTAATGTTATCTATATTTGAGCATTAAGATTAGGATATAATTTTTGACGAATTGTGATTTTAGCCATTTCATATTTAATATTATTATTTTATATTAATTCATATTATTGATTATTTCTTATTTTGTCTTTGTCATTTTGAACTATCATTGGATATGCCCTACACTGAATTCCCTAAAGTTATAATTTTCAACACGAATTTAGTACTGTACATAGGCCAATTTTATTACCTGAAAGAAGATCAGGTTATGTATTTCAATAATCCAAGATATCACTGCTCTTCTCATCATGGATGGTTAAACAAGCGAGGATGGTTAAAATTCTTGTTAATGTTATTGTATTTTAATGCTATGCCAGTTATTGACATGCATACGTCGGTAATACATGCTCAGGTATCGTTTTTTTATCTAGAGCCCATAACAACGACGATAAAAACTCTCCTGTTTACGCTAAATCTAATAAGAACTTGCGATTTTCAGATGTAGGATTCGATTATTTCGAAAGAATTTTCGTCTAATACATTTGCTGATTACTCAATCAACAGAAATCGTTTTCAGATTTAATAATGTAAAAAATACACGCGTGTGTTTAACCTACTACTGCAGGTAACATTGCCAATTTTTATGAAATGAAAGTAGAATTGAAGTCAATTCTTCGATATTAATCATTTAAAAATTTACTGCAAATTTTCAAGTTATTGACTACGAGTGCTTTCAATAGTTTTTTTTTTTTGCTTACTGAAATGATATTTGTACTATATTGAAGAAAGCACTGTATATTTGTACTGTGTACTGTATTGATGTAAACACTGTATTATTTAATTAGTTACTTGTCATTTGTTAACGCGATTTGCTAACGCCCCGCCAGCGTAGAACAATATAGCCCTTGTTTTATGGCCAAGCTTACCTCCTCTACCCTGAACACCTTTTCAGCCGCTGACTGAAAGCCATTTATTCTCAAGTCTGTAACCGAATTTTTACAGCACTTTAGAAACTTTACAATTTTTACTCAACTTGATTCAGTTTTAACTTGTGTTTTTTTAGCTCTTGCATTTCATGATGGCTGGTCAGAGAGGAAAAAAATTAAATGAGAAGGCCTCCAGTCCTGTTAAACTGAATTCGAAGATCAAATTGCAAAATGAGCGAGAAATTTGTAAATTTTGCAAGCTGGGATTGCTTAACGTCAATGACGCTACAGTGGCCTGTGATCGTTGCGGGGATACCATCTGCAACAATTGTGCAAAGTTAAGCAAGACTGACTGCTCGGTTATTCGTAAAAACAAGTCGGTACACTGGTACTGCCAGGACTGCCAACAACCTGCACTTAGCGCTGTAAAAAGCGAAAAAATGGTGGAAGAGAAGTGCTCTTCTATGTTTTCTGTTTTTAAAGCCGAAATTGAAGAAACCAACAAGCAAGAGTTGAGAAAGAGAGCCGAAATGGAGGAAAACCACAAGAAAGAATTGAGCTTGTTGCGTAGCGAATTACACTCGTTACGAAACGAGCTTGTGGAAATTAAAGCTCATCTGCACAAAACAGAAAATAGCGATAACACAGAAGGTAAAGGCCGCAAAGAGGTCATCTCTGATCTCGCCAACGAGAGCACTCGTGAACTGCTGGATAGAGAGAGAGAAGAAGACTTAACCTTGTTTGGTTTAAAGTTCCCGAAAGCAATGCTTCAGATGCTGAATTTATTACTGATTGCTGTGCCAAGGCATTTAACGTCGTATTGAATATAACGGCATGCAAGAGGCTACGATCGAAAGACGCTACCACCTGTAGACCGCTACTTGTAACTGTGCAGGATACAGCCCAGGTCGGACATGTGCTTAAGGCTGCGAGAAAACCAAGTGAATTCACAGAGTTTTATTCTGTCTTTGTTAAGAAGGATGCTACCCCTTTAGAGAAGGTTTTCGCAAGAAATTTCAGGAGAGACTCAGGCGGAAAAGCATGGAGACTCGGGTCAACCACTTTCACGATGTCAAGACAACACCGACCGCACACGGTCAGTCAGCGGAGCTGGAAGACAAGTAAGAAGTCATGTCCATAGAATGGAATAGAAGTGTCGGCGTTGAAGAAATAGTCCCATGGCCTGTTGCCGATTCTTGAATTTTTCGTGACTTGATTCACAAGGGATCCGGCCTTTGGAAACCGATCTTTCTATAGCTGACGATTGATTGAGATAGCTGCTGGACATATTGTCAGCGGCCAATTCACTTGACCTGATAGAGATTGAGGACGAGTCAACATCTGATAGACACGTGATAGATCACGCGATCAAGACCACAGTAGTGGGCGGAAGCGAACGTTATAAAAGGGCTAGCAACCTTAAGCAAGCCCCCAGTAGCTGATAAGCACTCCGCGATGTAGCGTGTAGCTTGAGTTCTCCGACCTTACGGTCGATGCCGTAGCTCATAACTCTGTATCGCAACTCTGTATTACCACCCCGTATACAAGATACGTTATCTGGACTTATGTGTCTTACTTATCCCTCACTACCTTAGTCAACGTAACCCGATCCTCAGGTAGAGCTTAATATAATGAGTTCAATGTCTTGAGCGCAACCTCGGACATTTTGGCGCCCGAACTAAGTGATAACAGCCGTGTTTTCTTTAAAGTGAAATTCGATTGCTTGACTATAATTGTGAGACTTTAAATACGGTGGTGAAGTGAAAGACTTTTAAGTGTTTGTGATTATAGCAACACTGTCGCATAGTGATTTTCGTGCGACCAAGCCTTTCAACGGATCGTTTCTGCGATGTTTAACTCATTTAAACATCTGAAGAGGAGACCAAGAAGACCTTCACCTACTAACTTCTGCAGCCGAAAACTATGAGAGTATTCAAGTTTTGTCTGGCGCGTCTTAGTTAACCTGCAACGTCAAGACTTTCAAGCCTACAACTGACGCAGAGTAATTTGAAGCGTCCACGCATTTTTTTGCGTTCCCTGAATCCAGTACAACATGCAGAGCCAAGAGCGTCTACGAGAGCGTCTACGAGAGCGTCTACGAGAGCGTCTACGAGAACGTCTACGAGAGCGACTACAAGGGCCGGCATCAGCTGAGGGCGCCTATACAAGCGTCCTACAACAAGCCAGCGGTGTCGTAAGAAGGTGGCAGCGATGTGGCAACGACTGTCGATGGCAGTCAGCAAAGGAATCAACAACAAAAAGCTAAAACTTCACATCATATAGACTTAAGAACAACATTTCTACAACAGCTACAGCTGGTGAACGCATACAGCACCGCTAATGGAACAACAACATGCTGTGCAAGATGAGCATGTGAAAAGAAGAGACGGCATAAACAACAGAAACTGTCAAGGCATCTAATAGGGTCGCCGGACTGAAAGTTGAGTAATCGTATTTATACTACTGTTGTACATCCACAGGTAGCAGTGCTTATGATTCGCGAATATTAGATGAGTCTCGGGAAGGTATCAAACCTTTACCGCATAATCAATGTAGCAAATGACCATTTAACTAATAATTTTGCTAAAATTAAACGCTCAATAGACTTGAATCTATTTTTTT